GTATTGTAGACCAGCCTTTAAAGGATCGTCTACAGTAGACGAAGTAAGCCTGGCGTAAGAAGTAAGAGTAAATGAATCATTTCCACTTCTTACTCCTGCTTCAGCTCTGACGCTTACTCCCGGCGAGTTAGAGCGCAGCTCAGCCAGTGCTGTAAATATTTGAAAAAAGTATGCCTGTACTTTAGCTTTTACGCTGATAAGTGGAAGTTATGGTTTTCTTACTCCTTACTGCTTACTTCCAACGTGGGCGGTCCTTATCGCAAACGTTGAGATCGCGCGTCGCCTTTTCGAGGCCTCGCGGCCGATATTTGCACAGCTTATTGTGCGGGCGTTTAGAGAGATAGCGCGCGGATACGTTGAAAAAGTACCGCGAGGTAGAGATGGGTAAAGTGCTGTTAGAGCGCTCGGGTATGTTTAATTGAAGATTTAACGTTCCGCGCGTATTGCACGGAGAGATCCTCCCGTCAATCGCGCGCCGACATTTACGTGGCCCAGTTCTCACGGGGTCTCAGGATGTAGAATACACAATTAAAGTTTCAGCGCGGATGTATGACATTGGGTCGTAGCGCGCGATTAAAATTTCAACGGAGATTTCGCAAAGAGTAGATTCCTTTACAAATATCGGAGGTGCACGGATACATATCGAGCGAGCCGTGACCGGTTGACCCCCGTCCCTCCCCTCCTCGGCGGAGACATCGTTTTGTACCTACGCGCGAAAGGAGGCATTCAGGTGACTATCGATTTAACTCGCGATCGTTAATAACGTAGCGTCCTTATATCTTTCGCGGTCTTCACGTACTTGGCGGGGGGGGGGGGGCGACTTCTTTTTCCTTCTCTACCCCATGTCGTTCTATTCCGCTCGTCCAAGTCGTTCGGACAATAAATTAATATGGCAAGTGCCGGAAAGGATGCGTACATTCGGAAAAACATGTTTTGCGTCCTGTGCCGCGCGATGATTTATCGTTTATTCGCACGTGCCGTTTAATGTGAAAGAGAGACAGAGAGCGAGAACTGCCCCGCGACGATAGAACTGATATAACTAATGCGCGCGGTGGATACTACAAATATTAGATATTCGGAGCGAACAGCGGTTCTGCAAACAAAATTTTCCGAAAATTAACCGAATTACGTCGAAATTGCGGATAACGATAACGATAATGCTCTTCGCGAGCGTCCTCGGCGCGTCCCTCGCGCGTCGATCGACGTCCGATCTCTCTCCCGCGCGCGGGAAATAAATTATATTGTCGTTATCCATCGATCCGCGATGCCCGCTCGCGGCGAAACCGCCGTTCGTCCGGTGGTGACACATGCCGGGGCACGTAAGCCGATCGCTCGGAATATTTGTACACGTCGTGAATAATGCCTCATTGTCAGAGAACCCGTGTCCCGCACACACACACGGCGGTGGCGGCGGCGGGACACTGTCGACCCTGTCGCTCGATATCGGCGCGATCGTGCGCAACAATCATTGCCATTTACCTACGATAGATTCCACGATGAGATTCCTCCGTGTTTCCCCCCGAGAAATTGCCGCTGGGACTTCGTGGCCTTTTCCTCGATGGAGCACGATAAGCGAAAAAAAAAGCTCTCTATCTATCTATCTCTTTACCGTAATTTAAAACTATGCACCGACAATTTCACCCTTGTCCACCTACACGCTCCTTTCTCGCGAACATATATCTAGTCCGATTTTTATCTCGGGTCGTTTCTCGTAGAAATGAACATCCGACAGTACCGATAAATCTCACGGGTGAGATCGGGCGCGCCTGAGCGCGGTTGGACCACTGTCAATTCTCTCTTCTCCCTCGTCGATCTTCGTTCTCGAGTGACGTTGCTATTCTTAACTGTTAAGCTTCATAATGAAAATGGACCGTGAGCGGTGCGTGCTACAAATTATCGAGACGTTCCCCCTTCGGTTATTTGCGGAGCAGGTGAAGTCAAGTGGAAGCGAAACGGGGTGATGAGTGGGGAAAATGGAGCTACGCGTAAATCGATCTCTCGATCGTTCGCGTAAACTGGGCGTCCCATTGACTCTTTCTCGATCCCTTTGTCGTACTTGAACGCACCGCCACGACGGACTCGGTTTGCAATCTTAATACATTTCCGGACTTTCTGGCCCACAACGTTGGCGGTTTCCAACAATTCCCACCCTCTCGCGCGTCAACTCGTCCGCGAACGAAAATCTGATCTCTTAATCGCATTTCTATGTTCCCCACGTTCGTTACGTTTCCATAATATTTCCCGTATTTTTACATTTCCATCCTTTGTTACGTTACATTGTTTCTGTTGTTATAGCACCACTTTCTTTCTAAGCAACTCCGTTTCGGCGGAAAGGTTTGCCGATCCATGTCACGGTAATTGTACCGGGTGAACCGGTCGAGCGTTAGAGAGTAGGAAACGCGAAGCCGGCGAAGGCCGCTAATGAGAGCGAAGGCCGCGACTTTTACTTTTTAACGGCATGCTCGTCGCTTATCTTGGAGATCTCGCGCGCTAACAACGGGATCGATACGCTTCTGCGGGTTTCATGAATTACGCCTCGTAAGAATGCTCGCGTATCGATTGTCAGGGGAGACGGTATAGCTTATTACACTTTACATTCATAAACCGCAACGTCATCCAAAAAGAAGTATTTCATGTATCTTATCGACTTTTTATACGCCGTGTAATTAACTAATGCGCAGAAAACTCCTTTATAGCTCGCTTATCTTTTTTTTTTCGCTGTCGCTAATAGATAATCGTAGAAGACAGCGGGACGCAATAGATGCTGATATACGAAAGATACAACGATCCGCAGATTTTTGCGTCGGCAGCGTGTAATGTAGCAATTTCTGCGAGATTATCTACTCGTTCGGGGAAAAATGATTGGCGCCGCGTAACGATAAGCGCTCTTGCGTAATAATCGCGCCGTTTATGGGCGCAGCGAAACGTCAAGACCAAGCAATAAAGATAATTCCAAGGAAAATGGCACGTATGGCTATTTCATTCTTTTGTAATTTCGTATCATTAGGATGTCGTTAATTCATAACATTTTTGCAATGAAGCAATCGTTCTCTTTGCAGCACTCGAACGGATCGCCAGGGGAATTGCGCTTACGCAGACGCAGGATACGCGAGAGAGAAAAATGCAGAGCTTATTTGAGGTCGACGATAACGACGTCATTTATAAAGATGTTGTCGTTATAGGTGAGTACAGAAAAATGTCCCGGGCCACATCAGGCCTCGGGATTGATTTAATAGTTCGATAAAAGAGACACGCAAAAATCGCGCAGGGGGGAGTAAAAAAAAGACATAATGTTCTCCTGTAATAACGTATTTTATATTAAGCTCAATTTACCGCAGAAAATAAGCGGGGAAACCGTCCGAGTTCTCCGACGAATAATCCGACCTAATTTTTTAACGTGCGTACACGGGAAAAAATGATGTATCAACAGTATCAATGTAATTGAAATAAAATTGTTGAAAACACATCAGTATTAATGAGTGAAAAACATCAGATAGTTGTCTTAATAATCTGGATATATACACTGAGAAAAAAATGGTCGATATTACTAAATATGTTTAGCTAACGATATTTCATTAATTCAACTATATACACGGAGAGACCGATATGGTTATCACATGTCTAATTAGGGTTGGCACAACCCCAATAAATAGTAATATTTGGAACAGCTATATCTGTGGTTGTCATACCCACATTGGTATGATAAGTAGTGGAGACAACTATATGCGTTGAAAGTTACTTTATGAAACTATCTATTTACAGTTACAGTTTTTTCGCTGCAAATGTAACTAGTTGAGCAAATGAAACTATCTATTTACAGTTACAAGTTAGCAATTCTGAAAAGTAACGCGTTACAGCTAGTTACTAAAAAAAAGTAACAAATCATTATTTCGCAGTTACTGTCTTGCAATGAAAATAAAAATATCAAATCTGCGTTTGAACTGTAAAGTGTCGATAAAAGCGTTTATGTGCAAATGCAAGACCTAATGCGATCTGTGGAAGTTTAAAAAATATATAAAGCAATGTTTATTAATGTAACTATTAATGTAACTATTAAATTAGTTACTAGTTATCGAAAAAATGTAATTGAGTTAAGTTACAGTTACAGATAGAGAGAAAGTAACGAAGTTAAGTTGGAGTTTCCCAAAAGAGGTAACTGTAACTTCGTTACAAGTAACGAGTTACTTCTCAACCCTGCATTTCACTAGTATAACGTACGGTAAAATATCAAAAAACTCTCGTACAGTTCTTCGAAATGCCACGTTGTTCCACGATTACACGATTTTCAGGATAAATTTAACGAGGAAATTGTCTCCCCCCGTAAGATTCAGAGCTCGTTTGTCGGAAAAAAATGGAGCAATTGGTCGCGCATTGAAATACCCTACGCTATCTCTGATCCTCAGGAAACGGACCGAGCGGGATATGCCTATCGTACATGCTCGCCGGAAACTGGCCTTACTACACCGGCGAACCTCATCCCGGCGACGATATGCTGACTGCGCGGTTGCAGTTCTGCACGAGCGGCAGCGAGGAGCGCGGCGACGCTCCGGACGACGCGAACACCGACGTGACCAGCAACAATCGCCACCAGTGCTGCAAGTCCGGTGTCGGCCGGGCGCAGGGAGGCGGACTGGCGCGTAGTACGCGCTGCAAACTCGAGTGCCTGTCCTCCGGCATCGAGGGCAGAGGCGGCGGCCGGCCGCTGGCTCTTCTCATGGACCAGCTGCAGCATCCGTGCGTCGACGCCGGCCTCGATGTGGCCTCGCTCCTCGACTGGAGCTCCGTGGACGAATATCCAGAGCACAGGATCGTGGATCATGTTGTTCTTGGCAAGGGTCAGCCCGGCGGTGCCTGGCAGGTTCGTGGCGAACGATTCTTCCCTCCTTGCAATCCTGCAAATAATGGATTCTCCAGAAGTGGATCCGCGAAATAAAATGGCAGGGAAAATCTTAATAAATGGAAATATCTAATTATTGAAAAATTAAAGACCTTAAAAATTTATAAGGCCGATAACAGTATTTCTTAACTCTTAATGCAACATATTTACATACATTGCGAAAAGTTCTTTCAGTGTTATTTAGTTTAACGCTTTTTTTTATATGATTATCTTTTTAGTCTATGGATCCCAATGTACTGACCATCAGTCTGAGTCGCTGGATGTCTCTGCCTGATTTGGATCTGAGGCATTGGGAAAAACTTGTCGAGGTCGAACAGTTGCAAAAGTCGGTCTTAGCCGCGGAGAATGACGTGTATGCGCGGCTAGAAAAACTGAGCGTTTGTAAAGCGTCTAGTCGAGTTTCCGTGGGTACCGTAGCAGCTTATTACAAGGACTACGTGCGCAGGAAAGGCTTGAAGCAATACTTCCGATGGTACATATTTGAAATGTCTACGGCACGAATTTCCGCAATTGACACCGATGACACAGTCTTTTTCACCCGGCAATCTGTTGCAGCGGGACCACAGTTACCTCGGTAAGACCGAACTCGGACTCACCCGAGAGCAAGGGAGGATACAATTGGATTGTAGACGGGTACGAGAATAAAACTGGAAAGCGGTTTCGGTATCGGTGCAAAAGGGCGGTTCTTGCGACCGGCACGACCGATTTGTCAAATCATCTGGACATCCCAGGGGAGAATACGAATCCCAAATGGGTGACGCACGATCTCAACGATTTGGAGACTCGATTGGGACGTCTGGTCGGCGAGTATGGTACGTAAACGCAGGGTTACACGAAGAAAGAGAGATTGCACCTAATTCGGCGATTTTTGCCGAAAGTTTATCTCCTATCTCTCGCACAATCGATAGGTTTGTTACATAGATAATTCGTTCGCGATTTGTTCTCATTTGAAAAATCGTTAAACCATAGGCATAGATTTGATCGACGAGCAGACCCCACCCGTGTTGGTAATCGGAGCTGGTCTGAGCGCAGCCGACGCGATTATGGCCGCGCGCTTTCGAGGTATACCTGTGCTACACGCGTTCCGCAATTCGTTGAACGAATGGGGCAAACAGACAGCCGAGAGGATAACTACTAGTTACGATCGACTGCAATGGCTGCCGGATTCCATATATCCGGAGTATCATAAGGTGTACGAGATGATGGCTGACGGAGGTACAAATTATCCTTTATACAAGTCATTGCCTGGATACACGCTTGTCAATCTCTATGAAAACCGCGAGAATGGAAACACGAATACGAGGAGGATGGTCACCCTTTCCGCTCCGGACGGTCAGCTGCACACGTTTGAAGTATCCATTGCGGCTATTCTTATCGGTAAACATAATATGTGTTTCTTAACGCTATAGTTGAAACTAGTAAAACTTGTAGAATAAATATATGATTGCGGATATTGAAGCGTCAATTGGCAAATTCGTTGCTGTATTGAATATAATTTATTTTAGGATACAAGCCAGATCTGTCATACTTGGAAGGTGGCGGCGTGGGATTGGGTAAATTTGCAAGCAAGCCGATCGACAGCAAGTCAAATCCAATTGAGATCGACGACTTCACGTACGAGGTGATCAACGCGCCGATAAAGGGACTTTATGCATTGGGACCTCTAGTCGGTAACAACTTCGTTCGCTTCGTTCTCGGTGGTGCGCTTGGAATTCTGGCGCACATTCTATGCACCACAAATACCTGAGAGATCTGACAGCCACTCGCGCGACTCGGTCGTATCTTAGCAAAATCATTTTATAATGTAGACACATTGACAACGGCATCATGTGACTTCTGCTCAATTCGTGTGAGTGCTGAATAGCTACCCTCTTAGTTTTTAAAATTTATACGAAGAGATTGCTCGGCAAATCTGTTTGTACATACTATTAAAATTATTTTTATATTCCTTTCCATATTACCCTTCGCGAGGAAACGACTACCGATTTTTAATTGTACATACGACTATTTAATTGTTCCGTCGGAATATCTCCTAGTGAAAGGTAAAGGGCGAAGAGATTACAATATTTACTCAGCGAGTAGTGACTTACAACGTGCGGAAAAAGATGACAGTTCAAATGCTACCTTAGATCTATTTTAGATCTGTTCGCGCTTGTTAACATTCCATTTAATAAGGAAATTATCTATGGAGGATGGTATCGATAACGTGAATTGCACCTAAATTTGACGATTGTCACATTATTAATGAATTTGTCACAGCTATGCATTATCTCTCCATAAATACACCCTTATTAGATTCCACATCTCGTAGAGTGTGTATACAGTTAACACATAACTGTTGGAGTCTGTATTGTAACCAGTTTCGTAAAGAAAAACGAGTAATACAACGAAACTCTCTACATAAATTCTGACATGCGTACTTAGGATTAATCTATGTTTGCCTTGTTACGATTAAGTTAAAAAAATGTTTTTTTATGCACATTTGTCTATACACGGTTTGCATATAGTGAGAACACATCTCACAAAGTGAATTAGATGATTACAGACATTTCAGTTTTTATGTAACATCTTTGATCCGCCGTGCAATATGCCTTTACATCTCTTATTAATAAGCTGTGATTACTTTAGTGAAGTAGGCTAGTAATGCTCTGTTGTTAGTATAAGGTATATGTACGTAATACTACCTTTTCAGTACAAAACGTTTCTACGAAACTTATTTTTTTATCACTTGATAGTTTTTATTTATACTAGATTTAGAAAAAGTGTGCTCTATTGCTTATATTTTACGTGATTTTATTTATGATATGCGGTACATAATTATGTACGATTATATATCAGTTAAGTTTTATATTAATTAAGTTTATTTAGTTTAATTATTTTGAAAAAGAGAAATGTACTTTTCATAATTTTGTTATATTTCGAACGGAAATTTTATTGCTCTTTGATAATCATGGAAATGCGAGAAATACTTTTTTGTTATGTTAAACGTGCGGTATGCAAACTTATATGTTAATACGTACGTAACAGTAAGCCTAAAATGTATTTAATATAATGTTACGACAAATTTGATATTAGCGGTGAGGCGAGGTACTGTAGCGTATACAAGAGGTGAAGCGAACATTAAAGCGTATCATTTGTAATATAGAAATATGTGGTTTTTAGAAGTTTTATTAATACGAAAGTTGATATATATTGATATTAGCTAAATGACGACAGGGATACGTATGGATACAAGAATACTTAATACGCAATCTGTGATAGGCAATGCAATGTTCAAGAAGATGCAATGAAGTAGAAGGGACTACGTAAATAAAACTTGAGTACATTATATTTAGTAGATATGTATTTTTACATGCAGAATGAGGACCGATTTATATAAGAAATATTAGTATATTATATGGTTTAATTTAGACGAAAAACAATGAAGAAATCATTATCTGTCTCTTTGAAAGAACGGCAGCGGATAATCCCACTTGTCACAAGAAATTCTCAGTAAACTTTTAAGTACCAAGAGAAGATGTCTTTGTTATTTCTTATGATTTTTAAAAAAAGATTTGTAACTTACACAGACCTTATATAGATATTCTGTATATGTATGTATAAGAAAAAGGAGTTTATAGGACTTAATCAGTCATTATTTTATTATGGAATGATCATTTAACAATTGGATGTACAGAACAGTTTACAATACGGGTATAAAAAGTTAAACCGCACTTCTTTTCCATCGTTGCGATATTACACGGAAATAAAAAATAATTTATACATTGTCGCTATAAAAAAATATACATTTAAGTGAGATAAATAAATTATTCTACGATGAATCTTATTTTTGCGATCACTCTTAGTATACACGTATTAGAAATAAAATACAGCGGGATTATCTAAATAAAATTGCAGGGACTGTTACGAAGGATCGTTTTAAAACTAATTTATACAGAGCGAGATTAGCATTGATTAAAGGGATTAATGCCACATTCATAGCTGATTATTTCTATCGTATTAATCCATAAACAGATGGACCGAACAGACACATTAGTAATCGTACGAATACATTTTTTTTTGCCCGACAATAAAACACTTGAGAAAAATTGCACGTACTATTTTGAAAAATAGCTTTCCATCATTATATACAACAAACTCTCTATAAAGATGTTTCATCTTACAGAACACGATGATAAATACCAACAAATATACTTTTACGTTAATTTTATTCTACGTTTTAAATATAACGAACAAGAAGCTAAGTAATATGATAGAAGCCGCGAGGACCACGATGCAGTACAACTTTTTATTGGTTTTCTGATACGAGTCAGCTTTCTTTAACTGTTTGTAGCCCTCCTGTACTTGTACTTGCGTTTGCTCGATGTTGTAATCGATCCGATCTAAAATAGTACCCTGATCCTGTACCATTACCGCAAGATCCTGCGCATAATAAAAGTCCAGAGTTTTATTCGAGGTCTTGTTGCCACTGACAATAAATGTAAAATATCAAAATAGCATTTTAAAATTGATCCCGGATCCAAGGTATTTACTTGCTGCATTATAATTGTTATCATAAATATTCACGAATGCGCACAACAGCACGTAACTTACCTTGAAAATATGCTTTAAGTCCCCTATACTTTGAACTATACTTCCAATCTGTTCCTCCCTCTCCATTGCTAGCTTCATCCTATTTTCCGGCTCCTCCAATTGCAACAAGACCGAGTCCTGCCTTTGCTCATACTTCTGCCAATAGTCACCAGTTGCCTCGTTTGATTCCGTCAGCCAAGAATCGGTCGCTACGTTGTCCAAAAGCGATTGGTCTTCCGCGAAGAACAAGTTGTTCCTCTCTTCCCTTGATTTCACCTCTGCAAAGAGTTGTCGGGTGTAATGCAAATAACGTATTTTTACATCATACGAAGGACATACGTGTCAGATAGTGATTCTGCGCCGCCCTGTATAGAAGACCTAACTCCTGCAGGGCAGTCGAAAGTGCCATTACCGCGCTGGCAGCCAGCCGACATTCCGCAGGCTTGGTCTCGTGTCTGCCAGCCGACTTAATTGTTTGTACTTGTCTGTAGCCGCTGGAAAACGCGCGTCCGATCTCTCGTGTCAGTTGCTCCATTTGCCTTTCCTCCTGCGCAGCGTTATAAAAACGTTATTTCAAATCTTTAACGTTACGCTTGCCACGAGACGTAAAAGTTTCACTCGGTTAACGCGTTTTTCTCTCGCGAGACGAGTGAGTTTTCTCTTTAAACCTGCCGGTCCACAAGGACCGGATTACAGCGAAGGAATTGACGAACCTGAGACGTGTCGTCCAAGGTGGGCCTGGTGAGCTGCTTGGAGTGCAGCTCGACCAGGCTGTCTATCTTCACCCGTAATCTGCTCAGGATGTACTGCGTCTCTTCCAGAGCGTCCGCCCAGGCGGGCGGCGCACCGCTGTCCACGCTCACGCCCTTCAGCTCTACATTGTCGGATCCGCCGGAGTCCGATTCGACCAGTGCCGCGCGGTCGGTTAGATTCTGAAAGAGCGCATGGGAAGTATGACAGAGCGAGGACGAAAGCGGCTACGCGTTGGTGCAGGTTAAGCGTACGCACCTGTTCGGCGTAAATGTGCCTGCTCTGCAGAGCGTTGTTTCGCATTAAAACGAAGGGCTCGGTTAAGTTTCTCGTGGCCATTTTCCGCTCGTTATCTCTCCGTATCGCAACGCGATTTATCTCGTAATCATCTCACCATGAGCCGCGCCGCGCACCGGATCAGCTGTCATCTTGAAACAGCTGATCACCAGGCCTGTTCTGCCCTCTCACTCTCTCTCTCTCTCTCTCTCTCTGTTCTTTTCAGCTTTGTGTTTCTCGCACCATCTATGTTTAGCAGGTTACATTATTTGACTATTGATAAGTTTTAGAAAAAAAAGCGAAATTGTGTACCAACAATTAACTTATCCTATTTTTACTATTGTACTAATTTGTATATTTAGTACTTATACTATTAATATATAACTTAAATACTATTACTAATTTGTAATATTGATAAATGAAAGATGATAATAGACAGTGCGAACTGACAGAGGATCTTGTCAGTGAATTGCCCTGGTGAAAATCTCCCTCAGAGAATTTTTATACGAAGTGGTACACTTTTCAGAAATACTGAGAAATTCCACTTCTTTTCTTCTAGAACTTTTCATATATGTGAATATTCTGAGATACAAATGTGTGAAATTATAGAATGAGAAATATCAAAATATTTCAGAATTCAAACATATGAAAGATTCTAGGAAAGATATAAACTTTCTCGGTACTTTTCCAATTTGTATCAGAAATCTGAAAATTTTTGTAAAAAGTTATAAAAAAAATTATTGAAAAAATCTTACAAATTCTGAAATTTGTATAAAACTTATGAAAAACTAAAAAAAAAGCGTTCACCAGGGTAGAGTATTCCCTACCGTTTTCCACATTTCTATTTCTATTAAATCATGGTTTCTGTAATATACAGTTCACTGATTTCATAGAGGGATACATAAACAAAATGTTACAACATTAACAAGATTTTATTTCTTAACAATTTGAAAAGCATTCGCAATATCTAATTATATATACACAACACATACAAATGTAAAAATGAAATATCGAGCTACACATGGTCATACGAGTGGAACCCTGGAAGCAGAACCTGCTGAATATGTTTCGTACCGATATTTGTATGTGAAGAAATGATGACGTAATCACAACTTTAAATTACACTCTTTGATAGATGCAGACCGTCAATGATCATTGCATCTTAATTTTAGCCTGTCTCTAAACAGGTGCGATATTAAACAGTAAAAACAGGTGCGATATTAAACTAAAGGTAACCGCGATTGTACTCTATTTCTCTGCGTTGTGTAGTTCGCTCTTGGTTTCAATCACTAGAGGCCTCGTGCCGTAGAGATCGCCCAGTATGACCTGCTTCTTGATCATCGATAGTGCCTCCTGCCCTTTTGCATAACACTGCCCAATCTTCTCTCTATCTCCCAGCGCCTTGTTCTCTTTGAATTCGTGCCGTATCTTTCGCAGAGCGTACATTCTGAAAAGTGTCAACACGATTATTACTTTTCATGCACCTTCTATCAATAAAAAGGCACAGTTAAATGCGCTTGATAATCCAGATTGCAATTATTTGTAAAATAAACCAGATTTTACATTTCTAATCCAGATACAGGAGACTAACATATTAGCGTAACAGAATTCTCGGGGATAAAGTTCTGAGTAGGGTTTCTTAACAAAAAAATATATATTTTTGTTTTTATGTAAAAAGACAAAGGCGATTCATCTCTTAGGCCTTAAAAAATTGTCTCAACGGTATTACATTACCTGTAATTGTACGAGCGCCACTTGCCGCTTTCTCGAATTAAATTTCGATAAAGGCTCAGAACCGCGTCTCGGCTAGGACTCATTATTTATAAAAAAAATACTCAGAGACCCAGTGCAATCTAAACGAAACCGGCGACTCTGCCGTGGCACATGGTTATGTGGCGTATTGATAATTCGAGATCTCTCCGTTCTTCAGAACTGAACTGACTGCACTGGAGAGTTCAGAGTTTATTTCTCTCCCTCCCATTGACGTAGGAAATATCTGGACGGAGCGTAAAGTACCCGGATGGACGCGGGGAATTGGCTCTGGAGGGTGAGGGGAATCTATCGTCGCGGCCATCTTGGTGCCGGATATTTTATTTTGTCACATTATTATTATTGTTCTGGTTTTGGCTCCCGGCTCACTTCATATTTTGTCACATCGTGAGGTATTTATCAGAGAGAGCCTATGAAAGATATAAAACTTTAAACAGTGCAGCCAGTTGCACTATAAAGAGCAGATGTCTTCGATGGTGTCCCTGCCCCCTGGCCGAATGGCCTCGAGATTGGTTGTTGTGCCTCCATGTAGATACGCGGATTCGTGCGAGCCACGATTTAATGTAATACCGCCAGTTGACTTAGATCTCGACATAAATATCGAATTAAATAACGTCACTTATTTACTATAAGCTCCACTCGACGCATGTCACAGCAATATTCCGATTGACACTTTTTTCATATAACCTCTATACGCTCTTTGCAAATTTTTTGGAGTTGCAATACTAACTTTCACGAGCCGGAGATACGCTCCTTGCCTCTGGAGGGAGATTGCACACAATTTTATTTCTCTCTTTTTACATTACAATATATTTCAGAATATGAGTGTTTTTGGCTCTGACGAATAATACGATCAGATGAATTAAAAAGGGCTATGAGCTGTTAATATTATATAGTATATATATTTTTTTGACACTGCCACCTTGTCACGGCTCATAGCCCTGTTTAATTCATCTGACATTTCAAGAATAGTTCAGTATAAATAAATATGCAGAAGTGTGTAAAAGTGAGAAGCTATCTTTTTGCGGTTTATGCAAGCTGCGTGTGCACGCGAATTTAGTCCCCATATTATGAGATAGGCTTCTAACGTTAGATAGCAGACTCACCAGCCAAATTCAATGGCAAATCTTTTCTCGCAACGATTGCACGATCTAATAATCAATTTTCTACTAAACAGATTTCACTCAAAGGGCAATCAATCAATTCATGATGAAACCAACAGAAGATGCCTGTTAATTCAGTAGCAATCCCTGCTATCTCATATCAGGAACTTGTAGAGGACTTTCCTCTACTGAAGTAATCCTGAGACCAGTGTAGGCCGGTGTTCACGACGCGCAGTCCCAGTTGCAAACGGGGGAAATAAAAATTTAACAATGTTGTACGCAGCATCAGAGCATCTTTTATTCTTCTCCGGTGGAATAACTTGATCCTTGCTGAAGGTATATTTTTTTTGCAGGTACATCACGTGTCGCTTTTGCAAGGAAACACTGAGAAACGGTGTTAAGACGGCCCGCGGTGTTAGGAACGCTGCCTCGGTTGCCGCCAGCATCGACAAGAGCAACGAGCTGGCGCTCCTGGGCCAGAAGTACACGACCGACGACTGGACGAACATCACTCCGAATATCATCGCCAAGCTGGGGAGAAATCTGCACGTGCAGCAGCACCATCCGCTCTCGCTTCTACGTCAACGCGTCGTGAATTACTTCTACGGACGGTTCCGCGGCACGAGCGGCACCCCGTCGTTCAGTATCCACGACAACATATGTCCCGTGGTCACGGTCCAGCAGAACTTCGATTCCCTCCTCGTGCCGAAGGATCATCCGAGCAGGAGGAAAACCGACTGCTACTTCGTGAATCAGGACACGCTGCTGCGGGCGCACACCACCGCGCATCAGGCCGAGCTGATCTCGATGGGGTTGAACAATTTCCTCGTCGTCGGCGACGTGTACCGGCGCGATGAGATCGACAGAACGCACTATCCAGTCTTCCACCAGGTCGACGCGGTCAGGCTGTGCACGTCGCGGGAGGTGTTTCACAGCGTGGACGACTCCGAAAGTCTACAGCTGTTCGAGCACAGGGGGACGGAGAGCGCCGAGAAGCAGGCCTGTCATAGTCTGGAGGCGGTGAAGGTGATGGAGCAGGAACTGAAGAGCACTCTAACTAGTCTGGCACAAGCTATCTTTGGGGAAGGTAGTGCCATTGTTTTAACATTTCCGACGAGCGCGCATCTCGCCCAGATAGCACAAGGGTGAACATAAGCTCATAGAGAGTTCATTTGAAAGGATACCTACGAAATTAGAAAACTGAATAGCTGAAGAATTCTTGAAGGACCAGCCACAATCGATTCGTCTTGAAGTTTTCGTCAAAAGTTCATAGCGCATGTAACTTTCCCAGTCGTTCTTATTGTATTCTTCTATGAATTCCTGAAGGATTATAATTCAGAGAGGTAGAAAACTTGAAGAATACTTAGCAAATACGCTGTACTATCTGGGCGTCTTCAAACAGGACTGCTTTGTCACAATTTTTTTTCATCGAAATAGCCTAAAATTAACTCGAGTGTCCTGTCGACAGACGTGCAATGCCGATGGGTCGACCAGTACTTCCCATTCACCCACCCGTCGTGGGAACTGGAGATATTGCACAACGACACTTGGCTTGAGATACTCGGCTGCGGCATCATGCGCCAGGAAATTCTACAGAAGTCCGGTGCCGTGGATCGGATCGGATGGGCATTCGGTCTCGGCTTGGAGCGTTTGGCCATGCACTTGTATAATATTCCAGACATCAGATTATTCTGGAGCAACGACGCGGGTTTTCTGAATCAATTCAAAGTGGACGATCCTAATGCACGTATCCAATACAAGGTAAGAGCCATTCAAATTATTAAAATGCTCTATCTATACTTAATTAACTTTATCATTTATATATGGATGAATATCTAACTTGTTAGCCCGTCAGTGTGTACCCACCTTGTACCAACCACATGAGTTTCTGGTTGCCGGAAGACGGAAGTTACTCTTCTCACGACTTCTATGATATAGTTAGAGAAATAGGCGGTGACACGATCGAACAGATATCATTAATAGACGAGTTCGTACATCCAAAGATGAAGAAAACGTCACATTGCTACAGCGTGGTCTACAGACACATGGAGCGCACATTGACTCAGAGAGAAGTCAATAGGATTCATGAGAAAATAGAAAGAGCGACAGTCGCTAAACTCAATGTAGTTATCCGATAAAGTTGAGAATAAAATGTTTTCCGAACAAACATGAGTGACTTTTATGCGCGAGCCCTGCGAAGTAGTGTACAAACGATTGTTACAGTAAAAGGAATATATTATTTTATTTGCGAATAAATTAATTATAAATGTGTTACATTAGCAAACAATAGTCGTCTAGGAACAACTATATTACCTGCGGTATGTCTCACATTAGAGATAACAACGATTACAGTTATGTTCTACATGCTTGCAATATATACATGAATATAAAACATTATGTAATCTAGTATTATTATTAACTTTTATGTGCTTAGAATATAAATTATAACAAAAGATATGCTATTTGTATAGACATATTTTTAAGGGGTAAAATTAAAAAGGAAACTTGTCTCGAATCGTTTTAGAGACTGAAGCTTCTTATATTACATATGTAACATGAGTGCAAAAAATGCCGGTTAGGTTTGACTCGCGAAAATCACAGTTTTATTTCTCGATACTCAAATTCTAGACCTTAATCGTATTAATTCTAGCCATTTTCTTTAGTAAAATGCATTTAGTTATTGTTATACAAATTAAGATTATATTGATCCATGCGAATACTCGAGGATTTAGATACATGAGAAATACTGTTGTGCACGATTAGAGAACGCATCGAATTAATATTTCACAAAATATGATATATATATATATAGAGCAGTTATATATAAATATCGCAATATGTACGTATAAACACATAAAAATGGAAGATGCGATCCTTTTGGCAATGCGTTCAGAAATAAATTAATACACAAACAAAAAATATAAAGAAAATCAAGTATAAAAAGTCATGTATTTAATCTAAAGCCAAGATGCGTAGAAGATAAGCTTGCGGGAAGAATTAACATTATGCGGAGAGTTGTGAAATTGTTTCGCTTATAACAAGTTTAATCCAATCCATATTTCCTTAAAGTCGGCGTGCAGACACGATATAAGAAATTTGGAAACTTTGCCGGTTTTCAGTTTTTGCGCTTATTACTTCCTGCTACGTTAGTCCTCCTTAGGATTAACGTCGTAAAAAATTGATTGTTACAAAAATAGTTGATTGCTATAAGACGGTGCATATACTGCATTTTCTTATTTCATTAAAAATTATTTCAATTGGATTGGATTTGGGATATTTTAAAACTAAACAAAATTTGTATACAGTTTTATAATTTTTTGCAAGTTACGATGTTTGATGTTTTATCCTCCCTTGTCATCTATACGCGGACGAATCAATTTCCGCACAAGATTTTAGGATAATTTGGTGTAACTGGGAGGCGAAAACTTTTTCCTCAAAAATTTCAGGATATACAGTGGCATACACGAGACCAACGTTATCACCAATACCTTCCATAAGAAGTCTGTTGTTTTAATAAATTCAGCATCTGCAACAAGAAATAAAATGACGAGAAAAATATTGTGCATGTTAACGATGCGAGTTGAAATTCAATTATCTCTTAAATGCCATCAACTTACCAAAGTAATCCTTCAGGACGACCAACGATAATAAATAGAGCGCTAGAGAGAAGATTTCTGCAAGCATCATTATGTGATGCCAGGTTCTAATTGTTAAAGCGACCATTATTAATTCTGTCAAAACTAGCGCTGAAAAACTTATGGCCACTATATGAATGAATTCGTCCTCGAACATTATAAGAGCACCGTACATAATTACTCCTCCTGGAACATTCGTCAAAGATGTAACATTTTGTTATTTTTTTTACAACACATGCATTGTCTAGATTTCATTAAAACTATACGTACCTTGATATATACTTATCAAAACCCACATAAAAAATGTTTTATACGACAACGAACGGCCTTTACTAAGCTCTTTATAAAGTTCTGGATAGGTAAGCGCTATCTTTCCTGACACGTCTTTATCCAATACCAACGAAAAGACGGGAAACATTGTATATATCGTGGCGTACCTACAAATTTTTATATACGTAAAATTTAGTACATTAAGAAGTTTTGCCACACAAGAATTGCTGAGCTTACAGCAAGTTTGAAGATTACTTTTTTACGAACATACTTGAATATACTTACCCAACCATAAGAAAACCTTGATATAAGGCAACCGAAGACAAATAAAAGACTGCAGAGAACACAGCTTGCATAGTCGAGATTATCAGACCACGGTGTATAACGAATTGACTCAATGCAGCCGATCGTTTATAACTTCTTCTGCCGTGGACTAGTAGTAAATTTGCGAGATGACTGAACTGAGAAATTGAAAAATCTGCAGCTAGCGATGCTTGTCTTCCTTCAAGACCCTCAAGACCTATCCCTGTAAGAAGACGTAAACTGTAATAAAAAAATATCTGGCGGAGATACTTGGATTAGTTAAAAGATTAGACAACTACCAGCGTCCGCGGCTTGTATCATAGAGACGTCGTTACCGCCATCGCCGACGGCCGCCGTTCTTTTCTCGGTGTGTCTCTGTATGAGACTCACAACTTCGGCTTTCTGCGTGGGAGAGCATCGGCAGCAAACTACGGCGGGTGAGCTGCAAGCGAGCTCCAGAAATTCTTGCTCGTAATACTGCAAGCACACCTCCAGAGAGTCGCCGCTGATAACTAAGGCACAATCTTGCTTCTTGCGAAATGTATTCAGTTCCAAATGAGCGTCGGTGCGCGTCACGACAGACTTGAAGACGTGCAGGCCCTGGGTGCGCGACACGAGACGCGAGGATTTCGCTATGCAAGTCGCGGTCTCCAATTTGTCGCCGGTCAACATCCATATCTTGATCCCGGCGTTCCTCAAGAGTTCCAGCGTAGGCCTCACCCTGTCTTGCAGCCTGTCCTCGACACCGGTTACACATAACAATTCCATCTCTCTCTCGAGACTCTCCACCACCGCGGCGACCCTCGATACACGGTCGCTGACGCTCATTCTCGCCGCGTTGTATCTATAAAATATATCATATAATTCGGTCATATATTAAGTCAGCGATTTCCATATCAGTGTGCCGCGAGGATATTTAAAAGATGTAATATCTAACTGTTTAGTCAGGGGCACTGATTATTTTTCCTTTAGAATCTAATAATATAGAATATATTTTTTAGTATACAGCAAAATTTTAATAATTAATTTACATCTGCCACGAGAAAAAAAAGGTTGAAAATCGCATCAGGCAATTGTAATACTCTTAACGATACGTTACCTTGCTTCAAAATCGAGATACTGGTCCTCGGTCAGATTTTTCTTTGCCACGACCAACGTTCGGAGACCTTCGCGCGCCATGTTTTCGCACACCTCATCCAGCCAGTCGTTATACTGCACAATACCAGACATCACAACGTCAGCGCCTTTCAAGTAGAAAATGATCTCAGAGCTGGACTCCTCCTTCACGATAATTCCCATTCGCTTGGTCTCCGACGTAAACGGGAATATTTGCAGTATCGTGTAATTCAATACTTGACCGTTCAGAGTTTTCAACTGCATCGAATTTAGGTCCCGCTTAATCAGAGCCAGTCCCATTTCCTCCGTCCACTTCACCAGAGCTACTTCGTCCGGGCTCGAAGCCTGATAATTGCGTTTCTGTTCCGGCGGATAGTAATGCTGATCCGCCTCCGTTTGGCTGAAACGTTAAAGAATAATAAACTTAAAGTAAGACCCCTGACTACAACTAAACATATGAGAAAACGCCAATGTGGGTCACAAGGCAAGATGTAGGTAGCCTAACTTGTAATTTTTATATTTTAAAATGTGAATTCATATACCGTTTCTTTCCGCATTTGTTCTGCGCGCCGGTTTCTTTCCGGACATAACGCAGTTTTCTTAAGCCTTGTGTCCACGATGCTAGAACCTGGTCCAAGTTTTAGTTCCGAGAAATATACAGCCAATCAATTTATAGCTTTTATGGAATAGCTGCAAGTTGATTGGCTACACATTTCTCGAAACTAGAACTTGGACCAAGTTCTAACATCGTGGACACAGGCCTTTACGGGTGGAGTTATTATCGTCAGCAAATTCACATATTCAAATCGATAAACGATTTGTAATTATATTAAAAATGCTACATTTTATCATTGAATGCTAAATGTAGCATAAAATCAATGCGTAAGAAAACCGCGTTATGTCCAAAAAGATCTTGCCTCTTGACCCACATTGGCGTTTTCTCATATGTTGAAACGTCAAAGTTCCCATTGAGGATTAAAGGACGAGAGACATCAAGGAACTTTTGCGACTGACTCAATGAGAGATCGTTACCTCTGAATGGAACCTGTATCTCCGGTTTCCACCGTCTGCACGCTCACCGAGTCCAGATTCGTGGATTTGTTCACCTCGTCGTACACCGGGGTCACGTTGTGGCACAGAGCCAGGGCATGCACGGCATCGTAGATCCGGGTGTTCTCGGATCTGCGGACCTTCCCGCTGTACGCAGACGACATCGGCTTCACCGGCGAGTGCTCCGTGTCCGTGGGATAGTAAGTCTTTAACACTGACGTCACGTCGTCGAACGTCTCCTGGCCGTAAGATATCGTACCCAGGTGTAACTTCTTGAACACCATCTTATTCTGCGTCAACGTGCCGGTCTTGTCGCTCAGCAGATACGATATACGCCCGAGTTCCTCCGGAATCGTGGTCGTCCTCACGACCGTGCCGGCGATATCCTTATCCCTCTGTATACACCATGCGTAAAACGCCTTGCCCATGTCCAGGTTTACTCTCAAGCTGATCGGTATGATGTAGGAAAACAGCAGGACGAAACGGAACATGTAACGATACCACGGTCCGCTGAATCCTTTTAAGCACATCATTACAAGCGCGAGTCCTATCACCGCGCAGAACAGCACCTGCCGAAATACAGTTAGAATGTACAAACGTTCAGTGAACGCGTATATCAATCTTTACGTACCTTCGTTAACTGATTGATCTCTTTATCGAGCAGGCCAACTTTCGATCGGATTTCCGAATGATTCATCAGAGATCGCGTCTCCTGACCGGTGTAGACGACGATACCAAGTGCGGAACCAGACGCCACAGCTGTGTTGGCCCATAACGTGTTGTCCACACCCAGGCTCTCTTCGCTGCTGTACCCGTCGTACTGGAAAGAACGGACGGTTACACGGAGAAAGCCGGGAGGTCTCGGAGCGAAGCGACAGGGGGAAAATTAAATTTCTCACCCTTGAAAAGGTGCCGATGAAGCTATGTATATCCTTCTGAGGCTTCTCAACGTACAGACTGGCCTTAATATCAAACAGCTGAGAGTTGCTCTCCAATTTTTGCGTTGCAGGCACTGCTAATCTCAATTTCCAGTCCGTTTCCCCGTCCAACTGGTCGGTCCGCACGAAACACGCGCCAGATTTTTCGGTTGTGCGTAATAATACTAAGTCGGCTGGTACTCTTTGACCCTTCTCTACTATAACCTGATAATCAGAAGAAAAAAAAGGAGAGAATCGTCAGCACCTCTGCCAAACCCTCGACGCAACAAGAACAACTATTACTGGAACATGACTTACCAAGTCGCCCACGCGCAATTTCGAGCTTGGTACTAATTCCGGCGTATTAAAACCTCTCACTAGTCTATAATATTTTTGTGCGTTGACCTCCTTGTCCCGCTTGTACCTTCGAAAATCATCGACGGCCTCGCGGAAAATCGTCACGGTTAAGACGAAGCACAGTGGCCCCCAGTACGTATACAGGTACCCTATCCTTATGTCTGGTATAAATTGGGATATAGCCATGAGCAGAAAGTATAGATTCAAGAAGAACTTGAACTGCTGAAAGAGGACCTGGGAAACAGAGACGAGTATTATCGACCGCGCCGCCCTTTCGGCGATCGAAGGAGAATTTCTCCATCGAGGGGAGAGCTTACCAGAGGCAGGAAAGTAACAACGTTGTATTTTTGATTTCTTATAACATTAGTGGGGAACTTCTCGTGCATAGGCTGCCCGATGTGGATAACCCTGGCTCTCAGTTCCCGTTCTCGGCAGCATCTCCTCCACATCCAGGTGCAGCATCTGCAATCGCAAGAAACGATCCCGACTTGACAAGGGCGGCAAAGCTGACGGAACGCGAGACCCCCGGCAGTTCTCTCTCTTCGGCATTCGCCGAAATATCGTCGGATCGAAACGTTATCCCGATTCATCGACAAAGCGCGGCCAGCTTTGTCCCATGCGTAAGAACTCGGCCAGTCAAACAGAAGACAAAGCGCGACGCGATCGATGATCGTGACAATCAGTCTCGAGCGTCAAGAAGCGTGGGTATAAATAAATGCGCGGTCGTCCTACGTCGTCGATCTACGTGTTCGCGCGTGGACATTGTCAAACGGTCGTCGTCGGACAGCTGATCGAAGAATCGCGCGGAAGGAGAGGGAGGAGGGGAGGAGATGAGGAAGACTCTCGCGTCGCGAGGGACCGTCCAGGTCGCGTCGGGGATATACGTCACCTCGACCAGGAGCTGTAATTCCGCGGTTTGGATATCAGCGGGATGTCCTCCTTGGACATCCTTATAACGTTGCTCTGCGTCTCCATTTCGAGGCTACTCCGCTCCAGGGGGGAAAGCCTGCGGCACGGCTCACTCGCTGGCGAGCGCGCCTCGTTCGCCGTTTCCTCGCGTTCCGCGGAAACGCACTATCCGACACAATCTATCCGAGAGAGCGTTTATCGTTATTCGATCTATCGGCGGAGCTATGACAGCTATGACATCACGTCGCGGCCGTGGAACGCGCGATTCCGGCGAGACGCGCCAGTCGCGAGAAACGGCCGCCCGATTGGGCCGCGTCCGGTCGGTACAACAGCGTCGGACCAATGATCCGCCGCCGGGAAGCCCGTTGAAGCGTCACAAGCTGCCCCCGGCGCGTGAACGAAACATTTGAAACTGTCTTCCACCTTCTTCTTCTTCTAATTATGACGCCCGGCTCCTGATAAATAGTAGCCGACACGGCCACGACGAACCAATAGACGTTGTAGAATTATAGACGATTAATTGTTGATATTATACAAAGCAGGGGATGATGCAACCCCGCAGGATCAAAACTTTTTCTCCTAGGTCAGAAGACGTGTTTGTACATACACTCCATGTCCCAAACGGAACTTACTGTCTTCCACCGAGGATCTCAATTCCTCTCAGATATTTTGAGAAGGATTCTTCCGAGAATAATTAAAGAAACCCACGCTGCAAGTTGAATTTTTAAATATGCAATGCGTATTATCACAATTAGAAAAAATTGTAATCTTTGGGGATCGAAGATATGTCAGTTTATTACAATAAAAAAGAAAACTCGACCTCTGATGACTCAAAGTAACGAGATAGTAATTGCCTCAATTAAATATCTCTGCAAGAAAAAGACTTGCGACACGTCTAGCAACAACATACGTGAGTGGCAATACGAAAAATCTTTGGGGGATTGAAGGATATATCGGTTTATTAAAAAAGGAAACTTGACCTCTGATGACTCGAAGTCAGTGCCGGTTTTAGCAACATTGGCGCCCTGAGCAAGATTGTCGTGGCGCCCATTCAAATTCAAGGGCTCGAAATTCTTGAGAAAGAAAAGACAAGGCGATAATATCGAACGACGAACTCCATTTTGTTTTTATATTTTAGGGAATCTCTCTCACTCTCAAACTACGTGAAACCAGACAGCGGCGCCCCTACAGATTTGGGGCCCTGGGCGATCGCCCAACCGCTGGTACTGCTCGAAGTAATGAGATAATTGTTGCCTCAATTAAATATCTCCGCAAGAAAAAGACTTACGACACGTCTAGCAACGCTAGGAAACGACCATCCTTAATTCAACTTGATGCCGCACGCAATAGAACAACGTACGTGAGTGGCAGTAAAAACAATGTTAATGGCAATTACCGGAATTCTACAGCCGGTCGGGCTCGCAACTGTTTTCGTGGCGAGCGAGAGTTTCTCGTTTACACACGTACGCGCGTGTAATGATTAAGGCATTGTTATTCCATCGCGAGCCGAGCCCTGAATACCGGCTCGTGTTTGCAGAATATCCCGCCCGAGTAATACAAGGGGGCGTCGAACGGGGTCGGGCGCTATTTCGGGCGCGCGTAAACGCGTGGCTTTCAATCGACCGCGCGTTGGCATCGCGCAAGATCGAGGGCCGATTGTTCCAGTGTCGGCTAACTTTTTAGCCCTTTCCAATTGTTCCCCTTACGCCCGTTTTCCACCAACGTCGTGTAACTTTGATAGTTTAATTTATCCTTTGTCTCCCCTCAGGAAGAGACGAAAGACGATTTAAACTAAGATCAAAGTTAAGCGAGATGTTGGTGAAAACCGAGGTAGAGCCTCTTTCACCGACCTCGATTAGTTTAACCGACGGCTAAAATTTGCAGGGTGCCAACAGAAAATAGAGGCGAAGGATAATCATGTCCATTGGAGAATCTGTTAGAATCAATTTCGCAAACGTCGGTTAACTGTTAACCAGAGTTCAGTCAACTCCCTATCTTTTTCTATCTTGTTATCTAAGGCCCGGTTTTACCAACGTTGCTTAACTTTAAGCTTAGTTTAACACGTTCTTCGTCTCTTTCCAGCTGTTACTTTAGAAAGAGGCAAACATGAATTAAACTAACAATAAGATTAAAGTTAAGCGACGTTTGGTGAGACTGGGCCTTAGCCTTCCTGTAAATTTCAACCGTCGACTAATCTTAAAGCCTTGTGTCCACGATCCAAGAACTGTGCCCAAGTTCTAGTCCCGAGAAATGTGTAGCCAATCGGCTTGCAGCTTTTCCGTGAAAGACAATGGATGTTCGGCAAAGGGTAAAAAGTTACCCGGTGATAGGTAACAATCGAGCCATTGATCTCACGGTGAAAGCTTCTAGCACACCAAGGGATCTTAACTCACTCACACCATAAGATCTTGGACCAAGTTCCAGCATCGTGGACACAGGCCGTTACGTATCGTCTTACGAGGATGTCTGGCGTCCGCTATACATGTATCGCTGTTACTCGAATCGGCTGAAGACAATTAATCCCGTCGCGTCTCTTTCTCCCTCGTCTCAATCGGGACGTAGAGACTGCTGGTGCATCGGAGACGTTGAAAATAAAACATGAGGTCTGCAGTCGATAAGCGACGAGGGAAACGGATACCTGAGTCGCTTGCGCGGTTTGCGCGTCGCGTTACACGTCCATTTATCATGGATCGGGCGCTCTTTTTACTTCGTCACGTCTTATTTTCTACGTGTGCGTTTGGACGCGAAGAAAGCAGCGAGGGAAGATGCGTTTATCGCGAAGAGATAAAAGGCTCGACGAAACGCTGCGCGCGTGTCCCTCTGAAATCGAACAGTATTAGTTAATAAAATTACTCGATCGGCGAACTTCTGCCGCGACGTATCCCCGCGTATTGATCTGCTGCTCGAAATATTACCGTCTGGTCCTTTCGCAGGTGCCCCGCATCATTTTGGTGGACCACGAGCGATGTCCTGTTCGTCGTCGCTGCACTTTGTCTGTGCGCTTTTACGATTTCTTCTCCGTCACTTCGTGTCGCACTGACAAGTGTCGCGTCGAGGAAAGAAGTTTTTTCCTTATCGATTCCCGCTTTAAGACACTCCTCGTATAATGCCATATATACACACGTACGTCGTTTTATTTATACGACGTTATTTTATCACACTGCCGATAATCTACCGGGAACTGGTTAGGACAGTTATTCCCGGCGAACAAATATAGCGCCGGACGAAAAAGATTTTGTATAAAGTTCGAATAACTATCGAACGAAACGCGAGTTTCGGTAAGGATTAAAGTCTGATCTACAATGTGCTCTTTGCGCCTAGAAGCATTGTATTTTATGTAAGTGAGTCAAAACGCTTAAGAAAAGTTTCGACAATATATAATGTGCAATTTATCAACTTGCACTAATTTCGGAACGTATTTACTGACAGTAAATTAGAATGTTTCCAGACGTAAAGAGCACATTGTGGATTAGACTTGGATGCAAAGCACGTGGAATGTGTGGTACTAATTTAATCGATCTCGTAAATCGCAGTTCGATGAGGATTATATTGATTTCTCATTAGAACTCTCCGGGCGCAAGTCAACACGATCGCCGCTCGCGCACTAATAACGTAATGAGACAACCTGAATCCCCGCGTAAACATTGCGCTATATTTTGTTACAGAGCGTTCTAAACTTGGTCAGCTACGGATCTTCCTGCGCATTTTACGTTAACTAACGAAATGAACAATCTCAAAAGTCAAAACTGATGTACACGAGGGAACTCCAGTCCATTCTGAATTTTTCGCGAATATATTTCAGCAATTTCCTGCACATTGAATGTTCAATTTTAAACGTTAAAAGTAAATTAAATGTATCCGAAGAAAATTCATTCGGTTCTAAACCTCGCGAATATATTTCAGCAACGGTTCTTCCTACATGTTTTACACAGGGTTGGGAAGTAACTCGTTACTGTTAGTTACTTTTTTTTGTAACTCTAACTTAACTTCGTTACTTTCTCTCCATCTGTAACTTAACTCAGTTACATGTTTTCGATAACTAGTAACTAATTTAATAGTTACATTAATAGTTACTTTTTTTTAAACCTCTACAGGTCGCATTAGGTCTTGCATTTGCACATAAACGCCTTTATCGACGCTTTACAATTCAAATGCAGATTTGATATTTTATTTTATTTTCATCGCAAGTAACTGCGAGGGAACGATTCGTTACTTCTTAAGTAACTGTAACCGTAACGTGTTACTTTTTAGAATTGGTAACTTGTAACTGTAACTAGTTACATTTTTAGCGAAGAAACTGTAACTGTAACTAGATACTTTTATAAAGTAACTTCCCCAACCCTGGTTTTACATCGACTAAAAAAATGTTCAATCTCAAACTTTAAAAATGAATTAAAAGTGCATTGAAAAAAATGTATTCCGTTCTAAACTTGGCGAATATACTTCAGTAACGGGTCCTACTGCGTGTCTCGCGTTAATTAATAAAATATTCAATTTGGAACGTCAGAGGCCAACGTGTAGGGAAAAAATGTATTCCAAATTAAACATAATTAGTATTCCGCGACTCTTTGCAATTGTTAAGTTTAAACTTTGTTAAAATTTAAAAACGCCGCGTCATTGAGAATTACTGCGAAGGAAACTAAAAATTATCAAGTGAATACCAATTTTCAAAATAAACGACAGCAAAACGTGAATTTCATTACAAACCATAATCGTGGGCAAACAAAGAAATATCTACGCACGATTGCACGACGTGTGCACAGTGCACGAGGCTCATCGAGCGATAAATCGTGCGAATGGAGAGAAAGATTTCTTTAAGCACCGAAACCCCGTTGGAAGATAGCAATTCCTAGACAGCGTGTAGACAAGTTTCAGGGTCGTTCTCGCGATCCGGGCGATAAGAAGAGCGATAAGGCGGCGAGAGTCTCTATTGCAGTCGCTCGGCGAGGAGGAGGAGGAGGAGGTGGAGGAGGAGGAAGCGGGATGACCTGTAGACTCACCCGCAGAGGCAGCTCTTCAGGTACTTGGAGCAATCGGCGATGCGCCGTCGCCTCGACGTCAGCTGCCGGATGCTGTCCCCGGACGGCTGCAGCAGATAGTCCGTCTCGTCGTCGTCCATTTCAAAGTCCCGCTCGTCGGAGCTGAGCCGCAACGGCATCTCCTCCAGCCTCATGGCGGAGGAGGCGTCGAGGCGGCGGCGCGCTCTCTCGTTCCCCGTTTTCCTACTTTCTCTACGTTTCTTTTATTTCGCTCTCCTCTCCACCTTGCCGCCCCTTTCACGCTCGCGCGTCGCGCGACCCTCCGGCGACCCTCACCCTCGCGGCGACGGCGAGAGACGCGGCGTGACGCGGTCGACTGATAGCGCGCAGCGGGTTGATCGCCGTCTCGCGGCGTCCGCGGCGCATATCTTATCGCGGGCGGTCCGGTTGGACGGTCTCGCGATCCTCGGCAGAGTCGTGCGGCGCCCGGCCCGGCGCGGTCCACCGTCCAAGTGTTCCGGGCTGATGCGACGGCTCCGCAGCGGTCCGCAGCGGCGGCGGCGACAACGACGGCGGCGACGGCGTGACGAGACGAGTCGCGAGTTGTTTACGTACACACACGCGCGCGCGCGCGCACGGACGGACGTAGTAGGAGCCGCGGGACGGCGCGCGGCTGGGTCGCGTGTGCATCATGGCGGTCCCGCGAGACGGGGAACGCGGCAAGTTTTACGGGCGCCGGTCGTTCCCGGGACAATTGACGCGCACTTGCGCGCGTAACCGGTAGGAACGGGCCGACGTGTGCCGCGTCGTCGTCGTCGTCGTCGCATCTGCGTGGACGGCCGCGTCGTTCCTCGCGTACGCGCCACCGCGCGCCGCCATTTTGGCTCGCCCGGCTGGTCGCGCGCAGTCCGCTGCGAGTATCGACCCGTCGCGACTCGAACGAGTCGCGCGATGTATCGAATCGCGCGATTGCGCGCGATTACGGAGTTTGATTTAGCAGAGTAGCGGGCACTCGCGGAATCACCGATGTCTTCCCATGTGAATTTATGCGCGGGTAGAACACATACATTTTCCATGGATGTACAGGGGGTGGACAAAATAATGCGAACACCTGACTAGCACACAATATCTGTTAATTAATAAGGTGTAGGGCCACCGTTTGCCTCTTTCAAGACAGCTGTAGTTCGTCGTGGAATAGATTCGTAGAGTGTACGAATAGTATCCAATAATGTTATTTGTAAAACGAACATACTGCTTCTCATTTTGACAACACACCTTGAGATTAATTTTCAATCAACTCCAAATGGATTATTTGTAACAATAATACTTTAACACTCCTCTTCGGTCATTTATTGCGTTTCATCTCTCCCGTTCGTTTATATTAATATTATTTGTAAGACGACTACGCTGTGTTTTTTTGCTCGTCAAGCTTAGCTCGATATTTGACAGCTAACGATTTGATTGCGTCTTCCAAGGATCCGTCTGGCGACCTTCCTTTGAGTTGCAACTGTCGGAAAAGACGCTCGCACGTGGATTTCTCGTCGCTCGTCATGAAGCACACCGTCAAATCGAACCGATTACACGCGCTCAGTACATCGAGAACTTCCACGATTGACGTTACATCGTCGACCCTTGACGAATGCTGCAGACACGCATTCGCGAAGTCACCGAGGAAAGACGCTGGGATTTCCACCCGAAAGATGTGATGCTGCAGGTCGTTCCTGCCGTAAAAGAAAAACATGTCGCTGATACACGGCGATATTTTTGTGCGCCGAGAGACTTTTCTTGTAAACCTTATCCTGAGAATCACGTAATCGCTGGACAACACGGCATTTCCGAAAATTCTCTTAAATACTAGTAAAATGTACGGTAAAACTTGATAAAAAAAAACTTTCATAAAGTTGTTCAAAATGTCCTGTTGTCCCACGATCACGCGATTTTCAGGATAAAGTTTGAGAGAAGATTCTCTCCGTGTGTGTTCCGCGATTCTTACTTTAGATTCCATACGTGGATAAACTTTGCGGAGTGGTCGGAGATTGTTCTCCAAGACTGTAAAAAGTCCTCGCACGTCTCCCGAGATCTAGCGGCACTTCCGCCGTTCCCTTTGCCGCGTGTCGATTTTCTCGAGACTGTCGACGCAGTTGAGTCACGAGGCTTAGTGCTGTTAATCAGCGGATTCCACTGCGCGCCGATCTTGGGTTTCATGTCATCGCGATCCAGGGGTTTCAAGTGCGCACCATTCACCTACCGTTATAAATTAAAGCGAAGTTTACTGGAGAACTTTTACATAAAAAAACTGTAATTCACAAATTTAAATTATTTCTATTGTTTAGTTTATAATTACTTAATTATATAAAAGCCCTTCGCAATGCAAAATGCAAATCGCGCGGAAGCTACAGTCGAGATTTCTTGACTGGACGATGACAAATAACCAAGATTACAATCACCATCTGCCTGAAGTGCTCGTACGTCGGCACCGCTTGTTCGATTGCCCGGATTTTAGCGTCGTTTTGTAATTGATAGAATTCGTCGGCTACGAGAGCCGCGTGAAGCTCCTTTTCCAAGTCTCTGTAATCTATCGGTGCTTTTAACGCACTCATTGTACGTACGTCCTTTTTGTTCCTTTCGTCAGGTTCCCCGCTCGAGTCTTACGACAGTCCGACATGATGGCCTGTTGTCATGGAAACTCCAACATCAGCTCGATCTATTGATTAAAATTTCACTTGCTCTAGTCTACGTCGCAATCATTTTATTTCTTTATAATTCATGTCACAAAAGTGTCGTGATTTCGATTAAGCTGGACATTAAATAAATAAATAAACAATTCTCAAAAATAAAATGCACAAACAGTTTGGGATAAATAACATGTTCATCACTTCTTCAGCTCTTAACAATAATGGCTTCCGCCTCAGATATAATCTTCTCCTTTGCTATTCTGTCCTGCCTCTTCTTCAGCAATCTATCGTGGATTCTCTTCATCTCGAGTATCTCCTTCATCTCCTCCTTGTCCTCCTCCTAAAATCGATACCGACGTGAAAGATCCGTTTGTTCCGGTGCCGCGAGTTTACTCACAGTTTGGTTTAATCGAAGAACCAACGCCCGACGGCCGTCGGACATGGGTTGAGAATAGTCCGTCAACTTTTTTAGCCTTTCAGCGGGACTCACGCCTCTCTCTACGACCAAAACTATGCGCGCCCACTGAAACACAGGAAACAAAGTCGGTGTGTGTCGGAGATTAATTCCACTCGAGCCGCGCGTACCACCGACGGCGCGTTTATTACATGCTAGAAATTACATTTACGATGGTATATTTCACAACTTCAAAATCAATGATACACGGGGAAAGAACTTTCTCTATGAATTTACCCTGAAAATCGTGTAATCGTGGGATATGGCATTTTGAAGAACTTGATTAGTAAAATGTATGGTAAAATTTCGAAAAACTCATAAAATTCTTCGAAATGCCGTGACGCGATTACATTTTGATTTTCAGGAGAAATTTTACGAGAAAATTCTCCCCGTGTACACATCCGCGTGTGATACACAACGTGACAAATATCAGGTAGCTAATAGCACGGGGAATCCAAAAGGAATTCTTTTTCAATTCCCGAATCACGAAGTGAATTTTTTTCTCATCCCATTTCTGTTGGACAAACATTCTTAAGAGAAAGAATTCGCTGTGAGTCATCGATAGTACACGCGGCACGAGACGTGTTAACGACGTACTTGCCGTTGCCATTCGTTCCTGGTTTCGGCGATCTTCTGGTAGGTGTTGCCCATCATAGCGATCAGCATGTTCACGAGCAGGATCGCCACGATCGCCATGTACAGCACAAACAGCAGCTGCAATTAGTAGCGATTGCATTTGACGCTATTTCGCCTGGCGCATCCCAGATAGCACAGTGAATTCGCAAAAGTATTCTTCAAGTTTTCTCCCTTTCCGAATCGCAATTCCTTAGGAATTCATAGAAGAATACGATAAGAATGATTAGAGAAGTTACATGCACGATAATGAACTTCTGACGAATACTTCAAAACGAACTGATTGTGGCCGATTCTTGAGATTCTTCAGATATTCAGTTTTCTAATTCCGCAGGTATTTTCTTGAATTATTTTTCTTGACATTTATTAAATCACTATAATGTACCTATATAATGTAATCACGCTCTTGCTTGTACACAGCTTACTGTCATAGTGGTATTGGCCAAACAATATGTGATCTTTAACAATCTTGTAGCAGCTTTTTATGGTTTGTTTCGTTGTAATCAATTTATTAAACAATGTTCGTGCAAAGTTATGCATGATTTTAGATTACTGATAGGAGTCCAAAGTTGGAACCGAAACGTTGTAACATGTTTTGTTTTTAAAATAAAAACATTGGCCGGTGTAGATCGTTAAAATTGGATATCGTTGGTTTTTAACTACTGGCGTTATTAAATACTATTTGTGTGTTTTCTTGAAAATGAAATCTCTATGGACTTGTGTTCACATTTTTGTGCTATCTGGGATATCATTTCCCATGGGAGATTTGTCTAATTGTCCGCGACGCGTAAATGTCAATTGGCGAGCGACGGTGTTGTTCACCTCTACCTGCTAATACCGATCGTATCTTCGATGAGATTAACGAAGTACCTTGGCCTCGAATTCGTGCTCGGTTCTCTCGAACGCGCCGAAGTAATCGCCGAAATTCGTCATGCTCATCAGGAACATCGCCATGACGCTCTCCATCGGCGAAGGCATCGGATTCGTCATCGAGTCGTCGATGCCCTCCGGAGTGTTCGGGTTGTCGAACGACAGGAATATGATATAATACGCTGCAAAATCAAATTCGACATTTGTCACAACGACGCTTCTGTTGCGTCCCGGTGAACACCAACTAACACAGTAACATTACATCAATATTACAATTTTGCGCTCAATAATATAAGTGTGGTGTAACACACGTTGCGTATAACAGATACATTGTTGAGTAGAAGATTTTAATATTGATATAACATTATTGCGTTACTTGGTGCACAGAGAAAAAATTTCGCTGCCATAGCTAATCGGTTTGCTAAAAATCTTTTGCCGCCGTTACTTAAAATTTCTGACTTCAGTACTTTCTCGACCATATCTGGCATTTTTAATAATACAGAAAATTTATTGCGAAAAATATTACCTCAGCCAGATATGGTCAAGAAAATACTGAAGTTGTTAATTACTGCTTGAAGAATATTCTTGTTAGTTGAAATTTCTAAACCACGGCAAACGGTTTGCTGCCGCACCCAAGAGGCACAGTAGCAAAATATTTGGCTGTCACAACTAAATATTAGCTGTCCATATTTTACAACTGAAGTTTAGTCACCACATGCAGTTTTTAGCTACACTTTTCCCGTGTGTTTACTGGGGCGCGAAAATATTTCAGACACGTTCGCAGAGATCCCGGCGCGAGGCTCTCATCCTGATGGATCGGTCGACGTATCGATTTACGATTTCCTATTGAGGAGGACTCAAAGGAGTACTAATGTTTCATTTGCAATGTTTTTTTGCGACTAGAAACAATGTATAACAATGTACAATTTGTCAACTTGCACAAACTTGTTAAATATATTTATTGGCTATAAAATAGAATGTTTCTAGACGCAAGAGCGCACTGTAGACTAAAACCCAGATAGCACAGTGAATTCGCAAAGAAGTTTTCTGCCTTTCTGTATGGTAATTCTTCAGAAATTCATAGAAGAACTCAAGAAAAATGATCGGGAAGGTTACATGCACCATAATGAACTTCTGACGAATACTTCAAAACGACCTGATTGTGGCTGATTCTTCAAGAATTCTTCAGATATTCAGTTTTCTTATTCCGCAGATGTTCTTTCAAATGAACTCTCTATGAACTTGCGTTCACCTTTGTGCTATCTGGGAAGGAAGTCGTATCCGCGAGCGAACAGACGGCCCATTCAAGTGGCGACAGTGCCGCTTGTTTGCGAAAAGAAGACACAATGGCACGCCGCGGCCACGCTGCTGGTTGCATAATGGTGCGTGTCGCACCATTTAACATATCTCGCGACCATCTCGATGTAGCGCCTCCTTCGGCGGTTTCCTCCCCGCGTTTCTTCGCACGGGAGGCCTTCGACGGGCGGCCGGGCGATGTGTGTCAATGTCGCGCTGCAGCGTCCAGTAAAACCGTCGATTAGATCACGCGACTTAAGTCGCGGCCGGTGCCGTTACACCAGCGGCTAATTAACAATTGTTGGGAGCCAATAGAATAAGGCACCGCATCGGCCTGATCGCCGCCGGCGTGTCACCGGCGGAATTGATGATGTCTCTCGCCCGTTACACGTGCCGTTGCGTCTCTTCGGCTTCGATTATCAATTGCGATAATCGGCAACAAGGTTGTCCGTTAATTGTGGACACAGGCCTCGTTCATAAAGATAAGTGGAACAGCTGTCACGCGAAATCGTAGGAACGAACGGGGGGTCCGCCTTTCCTCTTTCCGTAAACGCCACGCGTTACCTTGGGAGAATCCCATGACGAAGACGAGGTAGATGCAGACGAATCTGAGGAGGTCGCCCATGATCATTCTGTAAATCATCACGACGAACGGCCCGACCGTCTTGAAGCCCCGGCAGAAGAACAGAAAGTACGGTGCCGTCGTCAGCATCGCCACGACCGCCAGCATGTCTTCGACCTCGTCCGCGCAGGCAAATCGCAGAAACGGGAACAACAGCAGGATGCAGCACGAGAACAGGAACATGACGCGCGACGGCACCGTCATCTGAGAACCACGCTGGCGTTAACACGAGTGGCAGTTTCCGTCATTTTCGTTAAATAACGCAAATCGACTCGTTTGCATATCTCACCCTGGTGAACACTTCTCTCAGAATTTTTCTACGAATTGGCACACTTTTCAGAAATACTGAGGAAGTCCACTTCTTTTATTACAATTTTTCATATGTGTGTATATATTGAAATATAAATGTTGGAATTTATAGAATGAGAAATTTCAGAAACTTCAGAAAATTTCAGAATGCATACATATGAAAATTCTAGAAAAGATATAAACTCCCTCGGCACTTCTGAAAAGCGTTCCAATTTGTATTAAAATCTGAAAATTTTTTAAAACATTAATGAATAAAATTATTGAAAAAATTCTGAAATTTACACGGAAATTATAAAAAAAATATGAGAAAAATGTTCTGTGTAATCCGTTTGAAAATTCAGAAATTATTAAGGCAGCTCTTAGCCGAAGATTTGAGAAGTAAAATTAATTTTTATCAATCTCTCGTCCTCTAGTCCATCTTTTGTGCACTGAAAATAACGGTTCAATTGACTCTTACGAGATTTTCGATAAACATCTTAAGACCCAAGAATCTCGCCTCCCGCAACGCGGCCAGGATGTAGAGCACCGCTGAGAGGTATATAAAAATTTCCGCAGTTAAACGAATCTTCGCGCTCGTTTCTGTTAGCTGCATCAGCCTGCACTCCTCCGTGAGGTCGTCCCACCTGTTAAATAAGTATATTTAGTCTATGATACCGATAGCATGTATACCTCAGAAAAAATTGTGCAAGTAAATTAAAAAATGTACTATTTAAAAGTGTGTCATTAAATGAAAAATTAACTGTTCAAAAAGACGTGAAATCGACCTAATTAGCCAAGTTACTGAAACAAACTTTAAAATCTCCAAAAAGTTTTAAATATTTTACATTCGAATATCTGTAAATTCTTTCAATATTAAATTCTATCACAACTATAATAATAAAATTATTATTTTTATTATTCCATTAATAGCGTGTGAATTTTTTGCGATATTATATTTCGGCATACCAGTAGTCGGGGTTAAATTTTGATAACCCGATGTCGTCGACGATCGTCCTGGCAGTCGAATTTATATCGGCCGCGGTTTTGTTGTATGCTTCCGTGAAATAGTCCGACGCATTTGGAGGGCTATCGGTATACCACAGCGTATGAATGGCGGCCTCGTCAGGAGGACTCGGAATGCCCTCGTTTTCGCTCAGCGTCGAGAGCAACATGCTCTTCAGGGCCAACGTGATGTTCGACGTAACTTGCAGCTGGATCTTCTCCAGCGATTCCTGCGTCACGTTTAAGGACGACTTGAGAGTCGAGGTAAAAGCCGCCACGAGGCTGTTCGTAACTAATTCCGATAGATTCGCGCTTTGGAGAGATTTCAGAAACGTGGACTCCGTTATGTTGGAGGAATTCGTCCTCGTCAACGTATCGTTGGCGCTTTCGTCCGTTTCCACGGTCGACGGGCCAGGGCGAAGGGTGAAGCTAATCAGCGACAGAACAAAGTGGAAGCAGAAGAGGAAGAATTGACGGTAGAATCTAAAAATTAAAACAAGACCTCTCTTATAATTTTTTTTATACTTAATCGGGAAATTGGCCTTAGCGTGTTTGATTTTTAACAAAAGCGAGATTACAGATAGAAGATCATTTTCTCTCTTATACGTACCGGAATTTAACAAAGGTGTTCCACTTGGCGTTTAGAAGATCGATTAACATACCATCCATTAACTCCAAGTGCTCATCTTTGTCCTGCGATCATCGTGAAATCATTCTGCGTGCTCGGACGGTAAAGCGTAAGTAGCGTAATTCGTTCGTTCACTTACGCCGAAGACAACGAGATTCAGGGCAGAATTGTTGTTGATTGTCCCCGCAGTAACGTCGATCGTGTCTATTTGCGACAAAGGGTAGGCCGCGCAAGTTATGCTACCGATTTGCCAGTATATCTCCCGTTCGATGTTCAATATGTGAAAGAACATTTCGATTCTGGCCAACTTCGCTGCTAGGGTCAGCGGAGTCAGGTGTTGGACGTTTCTTAGATGGAGAGAAGACCCTACTTCGTAGGCCATGTCGAACGTGGCCTGAGATTAAATCGAGGATCAGAAGAATGACAGATGCCACGTTCTCGAAATTATCAGTAGCATACCCTTACGGAAAAGTAACGAAATAATCGCTAGAAAATTACTGTATACCAGCAATTGAATCATTAGAAATTACTGATGTACTGTAATTTCCCAACGAGAAATGACTCGTCGATCGATGTTGAAACGATGTCGAATCGACGCCGACACCGTCAAATTGACGTCAATACTCACCACTTTCTCGTATATCACGAGCATGTGCATAACAGTGTTCCCATTCGTGTCCTGCTTATCAGGATCCGCGCCTCTTGCCAGTATAAGCCTGTAACATTCTTCCTGGCCGAGACACGCGGCGAAGCTCAACGGATACTCTCCCCAATACACGTAGCTACGGGCGCGATAAAGTGGATAGTAGACACGATGAAATAAATTGTCTAACTTGATCGTATTAGACGTATACGGCTACATTATACGTTCTCGACATCGCGTTCGACAAGATTCATAAATCCCTGACGGACGAGCCTGTTTATACATATGCCTCACGGAATTTAACTCGTCGCGATATTGGGTCACATTCACGCTCGAAACGAACGTCCTATCGGTTTAATTAACGATCACAATGGAATCCTCTCGTTGTCGAGCGAGAGGCAGGCGACAATCTAATGTCGTTTCCGAAGAAAATGGGTACAACGCACCCGTTGTAATTGGTCTCCGGCGTGACGCACACCCACTCGTGGTCCAAACTGTCCAATCTCGATGCCTTCTGGTCTTCCGGGGACATGAAATTGCCGAAGCATCTCTCGTGGATGATGCGCGGATCGTCCGCGCCACTGTCGAGAAGAAACTTCACCATCGATGGATCCTCATTCACGATAGCGATGTGCAAGACATTCTCCCCTAAATCCGAAGCAAATCGCTACAAAGCTGAGGGCAGTAATTACCGAAGAGATCTCCTCTCTAAAAGTCAATCGCCCAGCGAGAAATGACTCGTCGATCTCGATCTCGATATCGACGCCTTCAAATTGATGTCGATTCGACATCGTTTCGACATCGATCGACGAGTCATTTCTCACTGGCCAGTGATTATCGCTGAGAATAGTGAATAGTGGCCGATTCACAGTTACAAGTATACCATTGCACTGAGAAAATTTCCATCGGATAAATCGATTAAGTAGTGTTTTCGATGGAAAATTAACCATCGGTTTTTTTTTCATTAAGTTTTCCGATTAAATTAAAGTAGTTACCGACGCAATTTAATCGAAAAACCGATTATACCCCTTCTATCGAATGTATGTACAATTTAACCGAATATATCCGTTTGTTAATATGTAATTGAATTATCCGATTAGATAGGCCAGGATATATTTCTTAGAGTGCGATCTTCACTGTTATATTTACAGGGTTGGAAAGTTACTCGTAACGAAGTTACACATACAGTTACTTTTTTTTGGTAACTCTAACTTAACTTCGTTACTTTCTCTCCATCTGTAACTGTAACTTAACTCAGTTACTTTTTTTCAATAACCAGGTCCAACGTTATAAAGTGGGCGCCTCCTCTTAAGCCCGTATCAGACAACGGATTGAGATTGAGATTAGATTGAAATTTGACCAATTAGAACCAACTAATCTTTAGTAGTAAATTTTACTCCAATTGGTCAAATTTCAATCTAATCTCAATCTCAATCCATAGTCTGATACGGGCTTTAGTCCCAGCCTACAATAGATGATCTAAGCCACAAGAAATTGACCAATCACAGTCGAAAATGAGAAGAATATTCGACTAGGGCTTAATTAGGGTTTAAATCACCTATTATAGATTGAAACTTATTTAGCCGTAATACGTTCAGTAATATTCATCCAATAGCATTTCAATATTCACGTTATATTAGAGATCTTGGCCAATGCACTTTCAATATAAATCGAATATAATATAATTATTGATGTAACATCAGTGCATTTGTATTTACATTCTACAGCCAATATTGGCTTTACGTTGGGAAATACCGGCCAGTGCACACAAAACATAATCAATGCAGAGCCAATAATGTATCGTGCTACTGATGGGGGCATACCGGAAAAGGCGGCGCGAATATGTATATTGTATATTTGCAGTAATATTTTTACAACAATACGCTTCGTGGCGCGATAGATTTATGCGATCTGAATTGAAATGAACTTCTCCATTATAAATTAATGATAAAACCGCGCGGGTCCTCGCTGTGAATGAACGGTTTACCTTGGAAATGCTAATTTTCCATTACGCCAACGTTACTCTATGAATAGATAATTTAGCGGCACGCTTATCGGGGAATTTATCGGCGTCGGGTATTCCACGGACAATATACGCGCTCGTCAACGAGATGCAATAGCAGCTTCAAGTCACAGCGCTCGATCCATTTCGGAATCGATGATCGTCACGTGGCTCGCGACAGATCGCTCAAACTTACCGTAATACTCGTCGCTCAGATAGACGTCGTTTATGAGCTGCGGATAGAAGCGCAGCAGTCGTTTCGCCAAGTCGGCGTGGATGGCGGTCGAGTTTAACATGCATAAATGTAAAATGGTCTCGCCGACGGCACCTCTGTCGCTCAGATTCCAGCACACAAATCTGTATTTGGTTTTATCTGTCAAGAGAACGAATTCGTCGGACAAATTGTTATCCGGCGCGTGTAACTTCGTAGATCGTAACTTAAACGGCCATAGAAACTTTCGCGTATAAGCTCGACGATAATTTATAACGCGATGAAGTTGAGTGTACGCGACATTACCTATCTTAGCCTCGTCAACCTCCTCGTCGCCCATGTCCTTGTCGATATCGTAATCCGCAGGATTCTCCATAGCCTTTAAGGGTGGCAGCTGTTGCAGCGAAGGGAGAATAATTACGGTGTATCAATTCACATATTAAATTTAAAATTATTGGGCTACCTTCACCTTGCTCGTGCCTAAGTAATGATTTGGTGTTCTTGCTCCCGTTTCATTTATATCATAACAGGTCCGTCCTGATTTAACTTTGTTTGAGAATAATTACACTAGTTTGCAGCCAAAAATTATTTTAAACTAGACAAGGCATCTCTTAGAGATCTTTTGGGTGCTGAAAATGATGTTGTAGACCAAGTTTTGCCAGCACGTCAAGATAACATTGACCGTTTTCACGAAAAAATGTAAAATATCGCAAGAAACCATTGCGTATGAAACCTCAATTATTTCGGAAACCTGACGTGCTGGCGAAAATTGGCTCGCGGCATCGCTTCAAGCATCGAAAAACTAACAAGAAACACCTTGTCTGGTTCAAAATAATTACAAAGTATATTTTATTTCGTAAACCAGCGTTATTCAAAGCAACGATATTGCGAGAGAGCAAGAGAGAGAGAGAGAGAGAGAGAGAGAGAGAGATGCGGAGGTTGGTCGCGTACCATTTTATGTCGTGGGCGGTCTTTATTTCGTAGAAGAACCAACTTCTCCACGGGTATCCACTTGCCCTTCCCTTTGTTGTAGAGAAACGGCTCGACCTTCGTTCTCAGGGCGTGATCCAACTCCGCGTACTGCTTGGTCTGCGAGGCCCTTTTCGTCATATCCACTAACAATCCGCCGCCTGCAACGGTAGATACCTAAAGATCCGCTGATCAATTTTGTATCTTATACTATAGTGAAAATGCTAAAAGTGAATAGTTTTGACACTTTCTAGCCGTCCCCTTAGAAAGAGACAAAGCCGCTCACTCTTAGCATTTTCACTAAATGTGGTAAGACACAGTAACAGACATACAATAGTAAGATACAGAATTGACCCCCAGAATTGACGCCCTGGCTGAGCGGAACGATCGACATTCCGATAAGGAATAAAAGGCGAAGAAGCGAAAGGGTCGCTTCTGGAAAAAAAGAAGGGGAGAAATTCCCCAACTCTCGATCTCGATTCAGAAGCGAGGAACGCCGTGAGTAGAATTGGCGAACGCGGGAGATCCCCGGCGAGAGAGGCGCGAATTCCGGAAGCCTCGCGGTCAGCGCGACCCAAGAAGGTCCGCGCGCGGCGCGGGCGATTCGCGGTCACCGCCGCGAGATTAAATCGCGGGCGATGCGGCACGTGCCATGGACGCGCGCGTTGCGTCACGAGTGCAAGTATTTGGATCGCGGCTCGAGGGCGTATTATATCGGGCATTAGCACGGCCGGCCGTCACCGTCGGAATCGGTGCGCTGACTCACGGGCAATAAAGCGTGAGGCGAGGCGGAAGAGAGCGGAGGGTCCTCGCGGTCCTCGCGGTCATCTCCGATCGCCGTCAATTCCCCATGACAGCAACCCTATTTTCACGATCGAGAAGACGCTCCTCGACGTTTCCTTCCGTGCGCCGCTGGCTGAAAACGATTGCTAGTCTGATTCGGCCTTTACGCGTCGCCGATCAACGGCCCGATCATGAATCTTTTCTTCTAGCGTGAACTCGTGAAAAGTGAAAAATTTTATTGACCAATATTGAATGCGTCAATGCAATTTGTCACTTTTCGCGAGCTCACGCCGGAAGAAAAGATTCATGATCGAAACCCCGAATGCAACGCGCTGTCGGCTCGTGACGTCGGGACACGCAAACAAGGTTATATACAAGGGTGGAGGGGGACGTCGAAACCGCCATTTCTCTTTTCGTTTCAAGAGGGAAACGGAATGACTGCGCTCAGCAGAAAAAGCAGCTTATTAAACGCCTTGCGCTGTACTGTCGACTTTTCGTCGAATGACGTTCAGCGGTTTACGCTTTTCACGTTTAATAAACAGCCCAGCGTATTAAAAGTATGCCGGTGAAAAAGGCGACCGCTTAGTAAATACGTTGGAAAAGCGTAAACCGCTGGTGCTGCTTTCAGCAGAAAATCTTACAACAGCTGCAAAACTGCATCGGAAGCGCTTATTAAGCTGCTTTTTCCGCTGAGCGCAGCCATTGTCGCGATAAATCGGCCGCAGGGCCTTCGATTAGGATCCGCGTTGAAAATGTTTTATTTAACGCTAAATATAGCATTTAAAATTAATTAGCAATCGTTCGTCGATTTAAATACATGAATTTGCTGACAATATTCCATCTAAACGAAACTATGTTACGTCCGAAAAGAAACCGGCGCACAGAGCAGATGAAAAAACGGTATATAAATTCACTAATATTAAGTTCAAATTATTGGCAATTGAATTGGAAATTTAATTTATCGGAAATTTTTCGCAATGAATTTAAAAAGTAAAATCATTTAGACACTAACATCCTGTCTTGGCTCTTACATTCTTTATTCCTGAATTGTGATTTCACGTCTTCATCAGAGCCTTGTGAATTTTATTGTTCAATATTATTGGGTTATTTACATATTGCTCGGACCCATAAGGCGTTCTCGTTTGTTCGATTCGGATCACAATGGTCCTGTTTATCTCTATATATGTTTTTTGTTAAAGTCGCGTTCGGCAAACAGACGCGACGGGAAATCGCGACTCGGTCGTTTCTAAATTTATCACGTCGATCTGGCTGTTAGTCAGACGTCATTTCGCACCGCTCAGCTTTCTATTACCCTGCAATTTGAAAGCTCGGGGTTTGCGCGAATCAACGACCCGACGTTGCGCGTGCGTCGTGCTGATTCCAGCAGAATTACAATCGGTCGATCGCACTTTGGACCAGAGAAGTGTGAAATCACGATCTCCAAGTCTATCTCTCGGCGGTGAAACAGACCCGACGAAAGTGTTGCGAGGAAATGAGGATGTAACTTAGTCGCGCGACACAAGATAACAAGATAATGGTGAACTTCAAGAGAATCCTGAAGTCATCGTCTTTATCGACACATATGGTTTTTACGCATGTAAATCCTTTTGTTGGCTTTCATGCACAAAATAATACCAGGCTCAGTTGCGGATCGCGAATAAAAAATTGAAAATTTCAAATACCAATTTCTTTTTTATTAGACTTCTGAGTGTTTTAAGTATGAGACTGTTCTTCTACGCGGTATTATTTCGTGCATAAAAGCGAATGAAAAGATTTACAACCGTGAAAACTACATTCGAAAATGTCGGTAAAAGAGACACGTACGCGGCAGGTTCGTCGAATTTCAAAAAATCGAAGCTCGAGAGACGCGCGAGAAGACTGGGACGCTAATAAGGTACAGTCGCGGGTATTTAAGCAGCGAGTTTCAGTTAATCGATTATAATTATTATAATTAATTCGACGCGACCCTAACGAGTGGAGACCCGTAACTGGGTCGACGCGGGGAAAAGAGCACTTGGAGAACAACCGGCGTCGCGGAGCTGATAAGAAATTGGAAGACTCGCACGCGCAAATATTTATTTCAATTACTCCTTTCATATCTCACGTACTACATGTATTCTACGACACGAGACTCGCCGTTCACGTTACATGTTTCGCTTGTAATGTACAATTTACAGTCGTTACAGCTTCCCTCCAAACAAATCACCCCTCTTTTTCCCCCGAGAAAAAGATGTTCTATCCTGAGAGAGAGAGAGATGTCCTCCGGTGCGACCGGAACCGGAGAACCAAAGACGAAGAAACATGGAGCACGGGGGATTCCCTCCTCCCCCTCCCCACCATCCCGAAGACTTTCACCGACTTGGGCTTCACTGGCGAAATTCAAGCGGAGCGGTAGGGAGGGGGTGGGACGAGGAGGGGCGCGATGGAGGGACGGTGGGGTCGTCGGCACATCAAAGCACATGCAACGCCATCTTGCACGGTCTGGGGCAAGTGTTGCACGCACCGTCGCGGCAATTGCTGGCGCAAGTCTGTGGGAAGTGGCGAGCGTGCGAGCGAGCGCGGAGCGGCCGGGATTGCTGTCAGTGATTAGACGTGGCACGGTGCGCGGGCCAACGCGGTGCGGGGTAACATGGCGCAGTGGAGGCAGGAGACGATATTGAAGCTGATCGGCGCGTACCGCGCGAGGCGGCTCCTCTGGGACCACAACGCGCCGGACTACACCGACCGGAGCAAGAGAATCTACGCGTGGAAGGAGATCGCCGACGAGGTGCGCGACGAGATACTTGCTCACGCGGCGCAGAGCCGGGGGGGGGGGGGTAGGGAGAGGAGATCGTAAAAGTCGCTGCCGCGAAAAGATGCGCGCGTGCGGACCTTCTTCTCTCTCTCGCGCGCGAGTCGATACGAATATTTGTTTAACTTTCGCCGCCGCGAGCATCGATCCGGCTGTCTCGCGGAAGATTTAAAAACCGTTTCGTTCTGACGCGCAGAAAGTTCGATTAAAAATATATACATGTGTATGTCTGTACTATGGCATAGATCGAGATGAGAAAAGAGGGAAAGGAGCGGCGCAACGGTGTTTCGCGGTGCCGCGTTATTATAATAGCGGATCGATAAGTTTTTCATTGACAGAAAAGAGCGTTTTTCCCCCCTTGGCCGCCGTCCCCCCTTTCTACTCTCGCGTACCCACGTATCGCGCGATTCGAGGCCAGGAGCGCCGAGTGAAAAATATCTTGGGAGTGTACTCCAGACGCGCGCGTCCAACACTTGCGCAAGTCGTTGCGCAATGCTGGCGCATCGCGAGCGCATCGGGAGTCTCTATTGCTGCCGCCGCCACCGACCGCCGCCGCCGCCGCCGCCGTCGTAATGGAAAGCGAATTCTCGCGTTGCATAGAAACGCATTTGCGTAACGGTCCGCGCAACGCACGCTTCGCTTATTTATCGTCGTTATGTAACACGCCCTCGAATCACCGTCGGGAGCGCGTTCCGGCGCGACGACGCGAGCGCAGAGAAGAAAGAGAGAGAGATATATAAATATAAAAAAAAGAACAAAAAACGATGCACGGCGCGCTCTTATCTCATTGGGGCTTGCACTCAGCTCGGGTGCGACGTGATGACGGTGGAGAGGAAGCTGAAGAGCCTGAAGACTCACTTCATGTCGGTCCACAAAGCGTACGCGAAACGCAGGCTGAAGGCCGATCTGACCCCCGGCAGCGTCATCAAGCCCAAATGGTTCGCCTATGAGGCCTTGACTTTCCTGAACAAGGGACGCCTGACGCGAATCAATCGCGAGACCCTCAACGTGGAGAAACAGGTGCGCCAGGGAGCTCTCGCGAGCATCGTCGCCGACAATTTGCGTACAGTTATAATAGTAACAATTATATAGGACGATATTACGAATAAAGCTAATGTAGGTTTCCACATGGAGAGGAATTGTTCTCAATCCCGAAAATTATGTTATCGTCGGACAACATGGCATTTCGAAGAGTTTCACGAGAGTCTTTTGAAATTTTGCGATACATTCGGCTACCCAGATACAGCACAGTGAATTCGCTAAGTATTCTTCAAGTTTCAGTTCCGCAGGTATTCTTTCAAACGAATTCTCTGTGAACTCACGTTCACCTTTGTGCTATCTGGGTCTACTACGCAGATTGCACAGTGAATTCGCAAAGTATTGCTCATAGAAGAATACAATACGAATGAGTGGGGAAGTTACACGCGCCATAACGAACTTTTGACGAGTACTTCGAGACGAAGCGATTGTGGCTGATTCTTCAAAAACTCTTCAGATGTTCAGTTTTCTAATTCCCCCCGCAGGTATTCTTTCAAATGAACTCTCCACGAACTTACGTTCACCCTTGTGCTATCTGGGTAGTATTGTACTTACAATTAGTATACATTTTACTAGAAGGATGTATGGTAAAATTTCAAAAAAGCCCCATACAGTTCTTCAAATTGCCATGTTGTCCCACGATTATATGATTTTCAGGGTAAATTTGAAGAAAAAATACTTTCTGTGTATATGATCGATGAGGAAGAAGGATTACAATTAATTTGTGATCATTGCGATAGTTTTATTTGCCGATTCATGTAGTTTTTTCTTAAAAGCTTTCTTTTTCTTCCTCGGTTGCACCACGTCGCATAACTGTAGCATTAGCGCAATTCACTCTTTGTCTCTTTCTAAGGGGAACAGAAAGAGAGGACGAGCGAATTGGACTAAAGTTATAGCTACGTGGCGTTGGTGCAATCGGGCTGGGTTGGGAAGTAACTCGTTACTTGTAACGAAGTTACAGTTACAGTTACTTTTTTTGGTAACTGTAACTTAACTTCGTTACTTTCTTTCCATCTGTAACTGTAACTTGACTCAGTTACATTTCGATAACTAGTAACTAATTTAACAGTTACATCAATAGTTACATTAATAAACATTACTTTATATATTTTTTAAACCTCCACAGATCGCATTAGGTCTTGCATTTGCACATAAACGCCTTTATCGACGCTTTACAATTCAAATGCAGATTTGATATTTTTATTTTCATCGCAAGTAACTGCGAGGGAACGATTCGTTACTTTTTAAATAACTGTAACAGTAACGCGTTACTTTTTAGAATTGGTAACCTGTAACTGTAACTAGTTACATTTTTAGCGAAAAAACTGTAACTAGATACTTTTATAAAGTAACTTCCCCAACCCTGCAATCGGGTCTTATTCATCGATCGTCTGTTAAACATTTTCGAGTAACGTTACCGCGCGTCGCAAAATAGAAACACATGCGCTTATTTAATTCGATGATGTCTTCCTTTTAGAACCCCGCGCCCGCCGCTAATTGGAAGCCGCAGGTACATTTCAATCTTCCTTGTATCGCAAGCTTGCATTTACATCGTAAAAATTGTGCAAAGCAATATTACGTAATGCAATGCGGGGGAGGGGGAGCTCTCGAGCCTCCCCTCGCTCGTCCGAATGTGCGACACACCCGCGTCACGGGTTAAAAACTTCTCATCTGCACGACCTGCCTGTAAAAGCCTCGCGATCACGAGTCCCGTCGACGTCACACGACTCTTTTCTCTCGACGATTTCAGGAGATCTCGTCAGGCCGCGACGAATTCACGGTGTTCGCCGAGCACGTGGCGATTCGGCTGAAGAATATCACGGACGTGCGCGCGCGATTGGTCGCGCAGCATCAGATAAACAACATCCTGTTCGAGGCCGAGATAGGAAAGTACAACATGCAACCCTCCTTCGTCCCGGACAACTCGGAGGTCATGGATAACCTGGACATCGAGCCTTCGACGTCGAACGAGGAGAAAGTGTTGATAAACAACATCCCTCACACAGTCTAATCGCGGACCCTCCCACCGCGAGCTGCATGTTACCCCGCGTCATCGTCATCCCGAAATTTTCGGCGATTCGTCGTCGTCCGCCTCACGCACGCGTTCACGCATCGGCCGATTTGTATTCGGTCGTCGACAACGATCCTTCTCGTTGCTCGCCGCAAATAACAGCGAACGATGAAAGCCGTCTCCTTTAGCGGCGGCTCCCCCGCGGAGCCGGGGCGTACGTTTGGCATGTCGCTGAATTCGCTCCGCCAGGCGTGGACTCTATTTATGTGCCTTCGTTTTGCCCGGCGTGTCATATGCCGCGGTCGTTACGAGCCACAAGAGCCGCGTCGAAAGTCCAGCTTTCGTCAGGCGGGGCCGATATAGGGTTTGAACCAGGGTTGACAAATAACTTGTTTTTTTTATTTTAAACAAAAAACATTGATTTTTGTCTAAGACAATGTTTTTTGTTTTATTTGTGTTTTTTAGTAAAGTAATAAAAAACATGTTTTAAATAAAAAACAATGTTTTAAACATGTTTTAAAGGAGCAAAAATAGTTTTAATTGGTATGAATATTTAAATTTTTTGCCAGCGTTACATTATGTATCGCGGATGCGGATCAGATTGGGATTACAGAACGAGATTCAACAATTCACAGCAGTGCTTCCAGACGAAAGCCGCTGTAGACAGGCAATAGACAGGAACAGAGAACAGAAATTAGAAATCTTATATCCATGCAGAATGGACAGTGACATAGATAGTAAACACGACATTTCTATCAATGGAAATTCTGTACCTATTGCCTCTTGCTAATTAATCATAGTATTGGAATTTTTAAATTGTATTAAACGAAATTTGGGTTAATTTTTGTTCCAGTTACCTGTTGGCTGACGGAAGAGGCTCAATTGCGCACAGTACAATTGGACACGTTGCAATTACGCACCGTGCTATTGGACAGATAATGGTGCGCACAGTTCTTTTGCACACTGTTCTTTTGCCCACAGTTCATTTGGGCAAAAGAACTGTGCGCAACATTATGTGTCCAATAGCACGGTATGCAATTATGTGTCCAATTGTACTGTGCGCAAGTGAAGGCTTCTCTTGTCTGACATTGTATAAAGATCATTACAGTTTTTTTTCTAAATAATACATATATTGAACAATACATCACATAGTAATTGTGATGTTTTAAACAGTTTTAAACAGTAGTTTAAAACTGTCTAAAATAGACATGTTTAAAACAACGTCTATTGTTTTAAACAAGTTTTAATCATACAGTTTTAAACACATTGTTTAAAACTTGCCAACCCTGGTTTGAACAGAATGATTGTCGTCTTTTACGATTCCGTAGTTAAATGCAGGTCGATGTCGGAAGTCAACGCACAAAGAATTGTCGTAGACGTGTGTCGCCTTGGGATGCGACGAATGCGACAATTCTTTGTGCGTTGACCTCCGACAGCGACTTACGTCTTACGACAGAATCGTAAACGGTTACGACAATCTTTCTGTTCAGGCGTATACATAGGGCCCGAGCACAAAGCAACGTAATAGCTTACTCGTAAGAATATTCTTAAAGTCACCAGCTATAATTAATAAATTAATAACATCAGTGATTTTTAGTTGAACGTATCTGGCAATTAAAATTCTTATTGCGAAAAATATTACCCCAGCCAGGATTCGAACCTGGGACCTCCCCAGATAGCACAAAGATGAACATAAGTTCATAGAGAATTCATTTTAAAGAAAACATACAGAATTAGAAAAATGAATATCTGAAGAATTCTTGAAGAATTAGTTTCAATCAGTTCGTCTTGAAGTATTCTTCTGAAGTTCATTATAATGATTACTTCGCGATTCAGTACTGTGAATACTTTAAGAATTTATAAGGAATTATTTGTCATGCGCGAGTATCCGCTAACCGCCATCCGGTTGTTCTTGTGCAGCGTGTTACCACGTGTAATATTTTGTGTGCGTAACGTTATGTGCAATTAATTTGGTGCAATAGTTCTATTGTGTAAAAGAAAGAATCGAACGACGAGAACCAAAACGGAAGAATCATCCGATTGTCAACGAGCTTCGGTTGAGAGTATCTCACTGTTGAGTGAGAAATTATAATAATGGTGTAATGTTACTGCATATTAGATATGTACATACATTGGGTAAATATTTTGTAATCCTCTTTGTTCTAACACTATTCCCCTTGAATTCATAAAGTTTACATTTATTGAATTCGAGATGAATACTTTAAGAAGTTGTCAGGAAAACGATGTATGATGCATGTAACTGCCTCTGTCAATCTTATTGTATTCTTCTATGAATTCCTAAAGAATTACAATTCAGAAAAAAGAAAACTTAAAGAATACTTTGTGAATGCAGTGTGCTATCTGGGTCCCTCCAATTCATGACGGGCGTCTTAGCCAGCTCGACATAGCTGTCGTAATAACTTACGACAAAAACGGAAACGTAAATGTAGATAGCGCAAGGGCTTTGAGCTTGAGCTGAAAGAGTGTCGTAACCGTTTACGATTCCGTCGTAAGACGGTGTCGGAAGTCAACGTACAAGGAATTGTCGTAGACGTATGTCGCCTCGCGTCGCAATGCAATGAATGCGACATACGTCTACGACAATTTTTTGGGGGTTGATTTCCGACACCGACTTAAGTTTACGACGAAATCGTAAACGATTACGACAATTAATTGCTCAGGCCCTTTTGGTGTAAATGTAACGTATATATAATTGCAAGTGAATACGACGTACGTCAGAGCTTGTGCGTTTACCTACGTTTACGACTTACCTCGTGCCGTCAGCTGTTACGTTGCTTTGTGCTCGGAGCCATACGCTGACAACGCGCAATAAAAATCGACGTTGCGTTAATTTTTGCCGCTCTCGTATATTCGTGAAACGAAGTAGATGCGACACACGGACGCACGCACGCACGCACATATACATACATCTTCGCACACACATGGCGAATTGAATCAATTTCCATCTATCGTATCTAATTACTTTACGATTATCAAACTCGACTTTTTAATTGTGAGAATCGAATAAATTATGGCCAGTAACAAGTGCGTTTGATTATTTCGCTCACCCTTCAAGTCAACCAATTTATAGAGCAGGATGGACGACGTGTCCGTTTGTTTCTTCACGCCGCTGGTAACGTTGCTCTCGGTATTGCCCATCGTTTACAAACACTTCACTTCCGACATTTAAGTACCTGCATGGGGAGACGGGCTCTTTCTCTCGCATATATCGAGCGTGTGTGCGGCACGGTATGCAACCGATAGCCGCCGAAATTGATAAACGCGTCTGTGTCCGGTTGCCAGGATACCGCAGTCGATTATCGATTAAACAGACCTTTAAACAGCTCCTGCTTACGGCGAAATTCGATCAATCCAACTAGCGCGACTTACCGCGACTTTTATTATTTCTTGCCGATTTAATTATACAGCACCTACGTTCTACTCGTTCATCGGGGAATCGCTGGCCGGAACTTTTATCGGGACGGAAAACCGCGAGGGGATCCGCAATTTTGACGGCGGAAAGACTCAACCGCCAGGCGACAAAGGGGAATTCGGTAGGAAATCCTGTTCCCGCGGCTTGGAGATCTGCGGGGCGAGAATTCAATTTCGCTGATACAGCGCGCGTTGATAAATTCGCCGAATGATCAGTCGCGGCAAGTATAAAGCCGGTATTACATTTGTCGTACGACACATTTTTTAAGAAGGTTGGCTGCAGGATAGAACATTTTTAGATATTCGAGAACTTTACTACCCTGGAACCAATCAGCCGGCTTGAAAAATTTGTCATATGACGTGTAATACCAGCCTTAGGCAAATTTTTAAGGCACATTTTTTTAAGTGTGTTGTCTGCAAGACAGTAAAATTCTCGAATATCTAGAATTTAATTATTCAGCAGACAATCAGCGCGCTTAAAAAATTTGTCGTACGACAAATGTAGTACCAGCCTCAGGTCAATCTTCAGTCTCTAGAAATTATCTGTTCTGCAGTTAATCAGCACGCCTGAAAAATTTGTCGCGCGACAAATGTAATGTTAGCCTAAAGGCCTGTGTTCGCGATGCTAGAACTTGGTCCGAGTTCTAGTTTCGAGAGATGTATAGTCAATCAACTTACGGCTGTCCCATAAAAGCTGGACACAGGCCTTAAGTGCACCGAATGCTCCGCGGTCGAAAAAATAAATACGCGCCGAGCTTAAACGGCAACGGCGTGAGTCAATTTAAAACAGAAAACGACGATGCTTATCGCGCCGGAACGAATGAATCGCGCCGCCTCGATAAAATCGACATTATCATTTAAAGCGCGATCGCGCTCTAATTTATGCAAGCGTTACGCGGGCCACTCCGCTCTATTTTCCAGCGGAGCGGGGCGCGAATTAAGGTTGACAGATTTATAAGTCACGGTGAAGATCGGTTATCTCGCGTGTCGCGCGGGTCATCGCTCCCGGCGCAGTCGCGTATCAATTGAACGCGAGGTTCGCGGGTGCCGCGATGGTGCGACGGTAAGCGTTAGACATCGTTTAGGCGTGTCTCGTCTATCGTATAACAGCGAGCACTCGAATAACTCGAGTTAGAGCGGATCGATAAGCGCGCCGGATTGCGAAACGACGAGATGCAATCGCGTCGGGATGCAAATTTTGCCCGAGCGATCGGATCCGGCTAATTCCCCGCCACGGAAACCGCCGCTCTCCTTCGCGGCTCCCTTTCGCGCGCCCGGCTGGAAAGCCGCGAGCGAATTTTCGCGCATACCTCGGCGATGACCGCGCTTTAATTTAGACGCCCGAATGCCTTTAGAACGCCGCAATGCTGCAATTGATCTTACGCATTAAGCGGATATAAATAACGGGCTTATACGAGCCCGTAGGCCGCGTTTACGCCCGACTCTACCGGGAACCGAGCGTACGCGAGTGCATTGTATACAATACCTTGAGCAGGAAATTAGATTCTATTATTGCGCCGACGGTCTAGGACAGAACGAATTCGAATTCCATTCCAATTCGACTTGTCCCCGACCGAGCTCGAGCTGCGAGCCTCGGTCAAGTTTTTGTGAATCCTGCACTGCAATTCTCGTTGCTAATGGCGTCGACGCGTCGACAGGGTTCGTTGCGTCTCGCGCGATTATTACACCCTCAGAAAGGATTTCTGCTACCGAGACAAAAATATTCTTGACGCATTTATATTTCTCACAAACTCATTTAGTATAAAAATAAGACAATATAAAAATAAAATCAATAATTCTTATCCTCCTCTATCTACGAGGGTGAGTCAAAAATTATCTGCACTTTTCGTTCTACAATTTACAAAAATAGGGGTTCAATGTATACATCATTTTTCAACATAGTCTCCTCCCTTGGCAATGCACTTGGTCCAGCGGTTCACAAGCTTACGTATTCCTTTCAAGAAGAAGGTTTTCGATTGGTCGCAAAGCCACTTTTGCACCCCTTCCTGCACGTCTACGTCTGTAGAAAATTGGCGACCTCGCAAAGCATCCTTGAGCGGCCCAAACAGATGAAAGTCGGAGGGAGCAAGATCTGGACTGCAGAAAGCGGTGCAAAAGTGGCTTTGCGACCAACCGAAAATCTTCTTCTCGGAAGGAATACGCAAGCTTGTGGACGGCTAGACCAAGTGCATTGCCAAGGGAGGAGACTATGTTGAAAAATGGTGTACACATTGAACCCCTATTTTTGTGTAAATAAATTGTAGAACGAAAAGTGCAGATAATTTTTGACTCACCCTCGTATAATAATTAAAAAAGATTGACTTACTATACTGAGACAAGAGTAACTTATATAAATGTAAGTTTATATATTCTTGCGTTTAGAATAAATTTTCCCTCCATCTTACAACGCACGAAGTTGACACCGCGATATTCGACAAAAGACGATTTTAGATTTTAGAATTTTTCATTTAAGATTAAACTATTCCTTTCTCTATAATAAATATGAGTGGCGCTATATCGATCCTGTTTTATGATACATTCAAGTGTAACAGCGTTGGATCCGGAAATTTTTCCTGTGGGTGTACGGAGGCGCCCCTTTCCGATGAGAGAGTCCTCGGGGGAGAGAAAGAGAGGGAGCGTATACGCCGGCGAAAATTCAAACCTCCGCTTGTACGCAATATCGATTATTATTATCATTATGATGTGCAATATTAACATTTGCATTTAATTTGTAGTTAAATTTATAGCTTGGATTTATATTGCACGACATATATATTATAGGTTTGCTATATTCCCAGTATACGTCAATATACCGAACATACCCGGTATCTATCGTCAATATTGTTGTTACCAGGAGGAAAGGAGAGAGAGAGAGGGAGGGAGGACAGAGACTGATGCAAGATTTGTACACGTTGGCCCGTATCCTGAATCCTCTTTTATCGATAAAAGCGCCTCTGAAGGTGGCTCGTAGCCAATCAGAAGAATTATTAGTCACTTTTAGAGGCGCTTTTATTGATAAAAGAGGTTTCAGACCACGGATTTATGTATCTCTCGTCTTTCTTTTCCCGACGTCTGATCACATGTTTACTTCAAATGCAGAAAAAGTGGTGCAACCGCGAGAAGCAGACCCGCAATCACGCATATTTCGAGAACGGTAAAATTGGATGCAAAGGAAAGAAAAAAAAAGAGATCACACACGATCTCACTGCGAAGGCCCCGGAGGGATTCGAACCCTCGATCTCCTGTTTACTAGACAGGCGCTTTAACCAACTAAGCCACGGCGCCTGGATGACTTCGCTCTCTCATAAGAAAGGGATACAAGGGACTCGGTGTCGAATAACGGTTTTTTGGCGAGCAAATTTTTATTTGCGCAGAGAGAAATCGGATTTACGTGAGAATATTCGACGGTTTTTATCGACAGCAGAAAATCGCCGCTACGTCTACTCGCGCTTGCGCGAAACGCAACGGCGCGTTTCGGAGGCTGCGAGAGCCATAATTCTCTCCGCAAGAGCGTTCCGTCACGACCCGAGTACCCGTGCACGCTACACCGGCAAAAATTTATGGACACTTAAAAACGAACCTCCTCTCGTACGCGCGACCCACATTTTCAGGGGCGTTACGTTAACTTGCATCACGGCGTCGAAAAGAAGACGCGGAGCGGTCGATCTATTTGTGAGATCGAAATATATGGACGCGAGCGCGCGAACGCCGCGGGCTTTTGCCGCTTGTCGTTCCGAAACGAGGTGTAACATAATCAAAGTGAAATATGGGTACGCGCGTTGAACAACGACTGACTGAAGGGAAATGAGAATTGGAAGTCGCGTTGAAACTCGGTGCAGAGAAATATACGTGTTACGCGCGTTACTGATGCGGAGAGAAAAAAAGAGAGGTGAGAAAAAGAGAAGAAAACGTTCGCTCCCGAGGATCGAAATCGAGTTTCACTGTGTTTTAAGTTCCGGCGCTACAAAATGTTACTCCCACACTGAGAAAAGTGTCCGATTAAATATAATCGGATAATCCAATTACATAATAACAAACGGATATATCCAACAATTGCCATGATATCTAACCCTCTCAAACTGATCAGTTCTATTTGTTTTACAAATTTCTCGATTTCAGTATCAGTTCGTAACTTCGTCGATTGTCCTCACATTTTATTCTCAACTGCCGTCAATCGGAGATTGGCAAAAAGGCAGACAGGAAGGTACGTGTTTCCGATTGAATCGGTTAGTAACTTATTTTCTCGGTTACTAATTGTAATGATTTAAGTTTCTCATTATTTAAGTTCCTCATTAATCAGAAATTTGTTATTTTACGGAGTTGGTTAGTTAGGCTTTCGAGAGGAGCCGAGTTCTCTTTCTTAGCCGGCGTGGAATATGTAACTTGTTGGAGTCAGTTCCGACTTCTATAATGTTTACAATTAGTGTGTTGCGCAATTTTAAGCGAAAGAGAGCGCCTGATGCAATAAGATTGGTACCCTACATATCTTTCATCTTTTTTTCTCCACGACGTCTGGCTATATGCTTATTTCAAAAGCAGAAAGTACAATGTGGCGCAACTGCGAAAAGCAGACCTACAATCACGCATATTTCGAGAACTGTAAAATTAGATGCGAAAAGAAAAATCGTAAATCTGGCCACGCGTCACGTTAAGCGAGTTACACGGGCGTTTCGCGGAACGAGTTCCCGAATCGGGATGACGAGAGCAAAAACGGCGAAAAAAAAGTCGCGGACGCGCGATCAACGTTAGCACAGTCAGAAACGCGGAACGAGAATTATTATCGCCGGCGTTTCTCGGCGATCCCCGTCCGACTCGCGAGAAAGAGTCGTTCCGTCGGAGCGCGATTTTATCTGCTGATTTTATCTCGTGATTAGCGGGAGAGACGAGAGGTCAACGTGCATTTTACATGTCAATCGAAGCGGAAGATGATCGCTAATTGTATCGAGGCTGATAAGCATGTTGCGCGATATCGGCGCTACTTTCCTCTCGATACGCGAGGAAAAGAGTATATCCGGTTGGTGTAACGAAACGATTAGTGCGGCTTCGCGAATAACACGTTGAAAAATGGCGCACTTTTAAAGTGGCTCCTGCACGAAGGAGCGGTTAGTATGGGTGCTTTGGTGGGACCCCTTTGATTTTCATAAATAAATTCATATGAATTTTTTCATAAAAGAATATCACTTAATGCCCCACATAATATTACGTAATATATCAGTAATATTATAATATTGCAGTAACATTACATATTGCAATGTTATATTACAGTACGTAATATTACTGATATATTACATTTATATAATACATCGCAATATTACATTACTATTATACTGATATATCATATAGAAATATTACACAGTAAATATGGCTGTTATGTTACATTTATCTTGTTGAGTAGGAAATTATAACATTGATGATTGTTATGTAACTGTTTACTGGAATGTTAAAAAACACAACTTTATATTTTTCTTTATTTTATTTCACCGGCGACCGGGTCTGAAATTTCACGTACTGATAGATAAAATTTACAACTACAATATACTTAAATTTCAATTTTTTCTACTTTTCGTCGGTTCATGCAGGAGTCATCTTAAGTAATAAGATTCAAATGGAGCACAAGACGAGTATTAATATGCTCGCTGGAGACACGACCTCGTATCGAGTGGCTCGTTGGTCTAGGGGTATGATTCTCGCTTAGGGTGCGAGAGGTCCCGGGTTCAAATCCCGGACGAGCCCAGTTTTTTGTTTTTCTTTTTTTCCATTTTACATGCGCACGGATTGCCGCTCGAAATTCCGCGGAGGCATCCGCGTTGTTTTTCCCCCCTCACCCGCGCGATATTTATCGAATATTAAATATTTCTGGAGCCACGTGCCTCTCACTTCGCGCACGGATGACGTGCGTTCACTCGGCGCGAGACACTGCCGTGTCTCCTGATATAACGAAAGATCAGTGCCTGCGATCGTTTCGTACCGAGAAATTCCGCTCGTTTTGCCAGAAATTCCTGGGACACCTGAAGAGACTCGAGCGTCGAGTCGCAGCCTCATTGTAGTCGCGTCAAGTTGCATCATTAGCGATCGCCTCGGGGCAATTTCCATGGATTAACATCTTCCTTCTTTTACTCAATGTCGTTCCGAAACAATGAATAATTAAGACCGGACAGTCAATCGCTATAAATAGCCTCGCGCGTGCATATTCGCCGGCTTTAATCGGCGACGGATCGATCGTCGTCGCGCGCCAGCGATATTAATTAATTCCCAATCCTTCGTTATCCCCGATGGCTCTTTAACGCGACGCTCCGATCTCTCGTGACTCCTCGCGATTCGCGCGCGAGCGTTTTATTTACATTAACGCCCGTTCGCCGGCATTCTCGGCGAATTCGTCATCGTCAATTGAGCCGCCAGGCGCGTATTATCCGGCCCATGGTGTAAAGATACAAGGTGAGACGTTGCGCATGTAACCAATTTTTGGGGTGAATTGTTCATTGGTTCTTCCTGCATTCAACCGCACTAATTTGCAGTTTGAAGGTTGGGACAAATTTCTGCAATTGGTCAATTCGGTAGTTCGGGCCACTTTTGATTGGTTGACACTGCGCATCCACCAGATTGCTTCACCTTGTATCTTTACACCATGATCCGGCCGGCGGGTTATCGCAATCATTCGTCGACGTGACAACCGTACAAATTCGATAAGCCCCCCGGCACTTCGCGTATGTCGTGGCTTACGAGCGCGATCCGGAGAGCTTTCGCGTCAAGGCAAAGAGTCTGAAATATTTTCAACTTTGAAATTGGATCGCGCGCGCGAATAAGAGCGAATAAGAAAACGCGCTCTACGCTTTATTTGCTTCTTTCTTTCTTTCTCCGCGCGCGATCGTTACTCCTCTGCTTTCGCTTGAAAGAGCTCGGTCTGCTTTATATTTAGAGCTGTTTGCCCGCGAACGTCATTGTTATCAGCGCGGAGTATCAACATTCCAGCCGCGCGGATCTATCTATAATCATAATACGATAACAATTTGAGACCTGCATTGTTCGCATCTTCTCGTAGCTGGCGCGCGAACGCGCTCGCCACTTTGCTCGCTTAAAGTTTCGCTTGGCGCTTAAACGAAGCTCGCTCTGTAAAAATCAGTCGGCGAATTGTCACTGAAAACAGTGAATAGTCACTGATTTACAGTTATAAGTGCACCACTGCGACTTTCAGTGACTTACTTATGACTGCAAATCAGTGACTATTCAGCGTTTTTAGTGATAATCCACTGATTGATTTTTAGAGAGCGGACGCGAAAATCAGAAGCGACTGGGTGTAAAAGTCGCCTTGTCAGAAACGATAGTCTTGACAGTATATAAGCAAGCTGCTATTAGTAACGCTGGACTTTACTTGTTTAAATATTACTTCGTTACCAAAGACGTGCAAACGAAAATCTATCGATTAAGAATCCACTTGAATCCAACTCTCTCGTAATTGGTGAGGGGGGGAGAGGGGGCTAACTTCACTGGTTGGTTTCGGCGTCCGCATAAAGTTTATCCTCGCCGAATAATAGCCGGGCATTGCGCGCGCCTCGACAATGACGTATCCCGCCGGAAGTGCGCTGGTTTCGGGAGATCCGGTCGGCAAAATGAAACCCCGATATAGATTTCAGCACCGCCCGTATTATTCGACCCTCGGTCGCGCTCCAGATCCGGCCAGCGGCTCGGACAGATCTTTTATCCCCGATTGGTCCCGGGTGCAGTTTCGAGAGCGAGCTTGTCGCCGACACCGTGCGCGCCTGTCTATCGAGAGAGAGGGATAGACTGAGAGAGAGAGAGGGGGGGGGAGGGAGCTCTAAAAGTTAATCAGTGGACTATCACTGAAAACAGTTATAAGTTTGTCACTGTATAATTACTAGTAAAATGTATGGTAAAATTTCAAGAAACTCCCAAAATTCTACGAAAAGTCACGCTGTCCCACGATTACATGATTTTCAGGATAGATTCTAAGACAAAAATTCTTTCCGCGTACGCTCACCCGCGTGAGTATCCAATCCTTGACCGTTAAAACATACGCGCGCTTAGCTAAATTAGACACCGGAAAAGACGATGGGCGCTAATCGGCGTCTTCGTACAGAAGTGCCCGATAGCGATAGCGGAGGGTCGCCTGTTGGTTCTAGAAATAGGACGGCTTCGCCTGTCCTAGGGTTGGGCGCTTCGAGAGCTTCGGACAACCGGTCCGGCGCAGCTTCCCGAAAAATCTCGGGGCATCTCCGAGATAAATGTCACTTTTTTTTTGTTAAACGTTGTTACGCAACGACCATCGTTGGTACGCGCTGGAAAATATACCGGGGAATAATACCGCGCCTTTGTCCTTCGTCGATTGATTCCATGGAGATCGCGCGGTTTCTCGCTCGCGATCTGCGGCTACGATACGTACACTGTGCGTCCGCGGATTCGCCCTCCCGCCTCCGGAGCGACCGTCATCATCCGCGCCTCCGTCATGCCGGCGCTGACGGGGCACGACGGAAGAAGACGTCGCGGCAAGGAGATCCGGTGGGTGGTGGACCATGCCGATCGTGTCTCACGCATGTCGCTCGGCCGTGCCGCCGGCTCTCCTCTCCTCCGGCGTGGCGGTTCGAACCGAATTGTGATACCGAGACTTAGTTTAGCTTGCGTTTACCTCTCGTCTCCGCGGGTCAGTTAGGCTCGCGCTTTCGAGCCGCCAGCACCGGCTGTGTTCTCTCTTTCTCTCCCGTGATCTTCCTCGATCGCGAGCCGATCCTACGTCTCGGCCAGCCGAGCCCTTCCCGCGGGGGATTCCTATATCGATTATCTCTCTTTTTCTTTTTTTTTTAAATTCTTTTTCATCCTTCTTTCCTCTCGTCTCGCAATCGCGCAGTAGTTCCCGGGCCGCACGAGGCACATGCGAACCGACAGTCACCGAAGAAGATAGTCCTCGACTTGGACCCCAGACTGAGTCTCGCCGTTCTTCGAGTAAGTGGTGTTAAGATTCTTGAATGGGGCGCCGTAAAATGCGCACGATCGATTTTTTGCCCATTTTTTTCGAGAGCGAGCGCGATCGTGGCAAGTGAGAGATCGCTCGAATTGGCCCGAGTGCAAATAGCTGTCAACTGGTCCTGCGAGCCGTGCGGGAAACCGTTGTAAAGTCACCAATTGTTCTATGTCAAACTGTGTACTCATAATAGCAATTTTTTAGGATTCTCAAAGAGTGAGGGATTTCATGTCCAAAGCTGCAGTTTGCGAATTTCTAGGTCTGAAATTAAATTTACCGCGACACGTGGCTAATGAGTCTCTCTTATCAAACAAATTGGTGATAAATGAGTTTCAAGATACAATTGCATTTTTCTCTTACTCTCACTCACGATCGTCCGCTCTGTCTCTCTTTCGCGACTGTGATGAATAGGGACCTAAATTTGAATATCTTATCAAGTCGCTATCAGGTGCTGATGTCGCTCGCCAATACGCTCGCGAAAGACGAGAGGCGTGCGAATAATTGCTTCGTTTCTCCTTCACCTTTCCCAAAAATTCTCGCGAGTTACGAAAATAAACGATTGCTCGTGTACATACGTGCGTTTGCTCGTATTCATCAGGCGTGTATTTTTTTATTTCAATATGATTGCTATGGGAAAACATAAAATTTCATCTCGCTGTTTATTCCAATAAATCTTGATAATTCTCGCGTTATATTCACGCTTTTGAAAAATATCGGGAGTAAAATGTAATTACATTTACACTTGGAAACTTTCATATAGTCTCGTATCATTCGCGTTATCTAAAAGTATTAGGAATAAAATATGCAATTATATTCAACTTTTAAAAATGCGCAAACCTAGGGTTTAAAGCAGAATCTGGATTTTTCAGCGCTTGGACTCGCATCCGCCGCGAATCTCAAAGCATTCGCGTTTGAACAATCGAACAGATTCACGCGGGCGCTTTCGGTTTAACGCAGGGAAAAGAAGATTGATAGAGATTGATCGATCTTAGAAATGCTTCATCTTGATGCTGTGAACTCAGTGAACTCAGCGACGAGAGAGAAAAATGCGGGACACGTATACTACTGTTTATTAATGTCTGGACCTGCATTTTTATCGTCATTTTTCCCATCTGTACAAATCACCGAGTTTCGGGCTGTATGTGTGCACTACCGCAGACTTCTGTAGAAGCTGTGTGAACTAGAGCCTGCACTGAGAAAAATATCCGATTAAATATAATCGGACAATCCCATTACATCATAACAAACGGACATATCCGATTAAATTGTACATCCGTTTTTCGATCAAATTTAATCGGTAACTGCGTTTTATCGGATAAATTTCATCGAGTATATACATATTATAATTTAATCGGAAAAGTTAATCGGAAAAATTAGCCATCGGAAACATTGTTTAACTGGTTTATCCGATGGAAATTTTTCTCAGCGTGAAACTCACCGATGTATACATGGGAATAAAGATTATGAAAATGTGAATCCTAGTAAAACTAAGGTCCAGGCATTAATGAATAATCCTCTTTAATCTACAAGCGCCTCTAAAAGTGGCTTGTAGCCAATCAGAAGGCCTGTTAGCTACTTTTAGAGGCGCTTTTATCAAATAAAAGGGGATTCAGAATACGGGGCTAAGACTGTGTACGTGTGCACAGCGGGAATTATCCGCTGGCGAACTTTGACAAGTGCGAGCGTGCGAGAGTTTGATATCCCGATGTCGCGACCTGCGCGCGATGGAAATACCAGCCGCTTAAATAGCGATTTATCTGCCTAATCCGCAAATTGTATCAATGCCCACAGACGGCGTCGCTTCGATCCGCCGTGATCGGTAGGTCAACGAGTAGAAATCGAATAGATTCTTGTTTATCTCGCGGATGAATAGGAATCCTTTACGGTCTCGGATTGTTTTCCGCCACAATAAGAATACCAATCAGGATTAAGATTCTCTCTCTCTCTCTCTCTCTCTCTCTCTCTCTCTCTCTCTCTCTCTCTGTCTCTCTCTTTCATAACGGTTCGTTCAATGCTCGCCTTGTATCTGCGCGCCCGAGAAGAAAGCCTCATCAAGTCACATTCTTAGCACAGTCGAGCAAATTATATCGCGACGGGCGTGTAATTCTATGCAGCGGATATCGCGCGGCGATTAACGCGAGAGAGCGAGCGAGTGTCAAGCTTCGCGCGATAAGTGCGTATAAAGAGCAAAGACGAAAACCGCAAAATAAAATAAGACGAGGAGAGACTCGGCGGGGCGCCGAAAATCTCGTTCGCCGAAAAGCGCCGAGAATATCTCGAAACTCGCTTACGCGTGCCCCTTTAAACCTCTTCGGCAACGTGTCGCAGCCTTGTCACTCCGCGCCGATTACTCGTATATATGTATGGTAATATTTCAACTTTCATCGGGTTGTAGCATTCTAATGGCGCTGACTTCTCCGTAGCGCGCGCGATAGATACATTAGAACCAGCTTGCACAGCTGTAAGTCATACGAGACGACGAGGCTGGCGACGACTGCGACGCAGCGCAAAACTTTACGCGTAATTCGTCCTTGCCCGCGGAGTGCCACGCGGAAAGAAAACGTAAAATCTGCACGTGGTAACTAACTTTCAGTTGTAAAGTATGGACAGCTGATATTTAGTTGTGATAGCTAAATATTTTCCTATTGTGCCCATTGCATCAGGTGCGACGGTAAACCGTTCGCTGTGATTTAACAAACCGTGCACCCTCAGAAAGGATTTCTGTTACCGAGACAAAAAATATTCTTGACGCATTTATATTTCTCACCACCTCGTTTAGTATAAAAATAAGACAATATAAAAATAAAACCAATAATTCTTATTCTCCTCTACCTAATTAAAAAAGATTGACTTACTATACTGAGACAAGTGTAACTTGTATAAATGTAAGTTTATATATTCTTGGGTTTAAAATAAATTTTCCCTCCATCTTACAACGCACGATATTCGACAAAAGACGATACATATTATCCATGGTATTCTGGATTTTAGAATTTTTCATTTAAGATAAAAATATTCCTTTCTCTATAATAAATATGATTGGCGCTATATCGATCCTATTTTACGATACATTGAAGTGTAATAGCATTGGATCTGGAAATTTTTTTCTGTGGGGGTGATTAGCTACGGTAGCGAAAATATTGTTTTTTTAGTGCCTGAAAGAATGCGAGCTCTCCGGAGAGATAAATCCTCGACTCGGAAAAGTTTCGAGGTGGGTAATTTCCGAGAGACCATCGGCGATTTTTCTCGCGATACTCTCGATTGCCACGGAAAGTGCGGTGGATGAAAAAACGAACCAACTAGGCCTGGGGAAATAAAAATTGGAGATACGATCTCCCGCATATTGTTCCTTATCTCCGGCGGAATGTCACCTTGGTGAAATGGAGCGTATCACAGGCGTATATTTCAAATATTCCTCGCCACCCCGTCCCCTCGCACGTGTAACGTGAACGGACTTATTTCCCGTCTCTCGGGCGATAAATGCTAAAGTTTTCAGAATGTTTTGAAAATCGACGTTCTATCTGCACCGCTTTGCCTACTTTGGTGGAAGCGTACTCGCGCGCGTTTCGCAAAACTCTGATATTTCTTCGAACGCGCGGGCCAACAGACACGCGCGGCAAATTAGCAGACTGCTTGTTTTACGAAAAGAGTTCATTCCGAAAGTGCCGGGACGATAAATCGGGCCGACTTTAGCGTAAACCGAATGTTTTCGCCCAGAAACGATAATCAGGCGAAATTTTATCGCTGAGACCGAAGAGATCTTTTACGTCCCTCCTTCAGGAAGCCCCTTCGGAGCGATGCGCTTTCTAAAATCGCGGGACAATTGATTCGCGAGCCGTCCCAATGAGAAACGATTTGTCGAAATAATGTCGACTCAACATCGATCGACGAGTCTTTTCTCGCTGGGGTGCTTTTCGCCGATTCTCTCATCGCTGCACCTACAGAAAAAATTTCCGGTTCCAATGCTATTACACTTCAATATATCGTAAAACAGGGTCGATACAGAGTCAACCATATTTATTATAGAGAAAGGAATATTTTAATCTTAAATGAAAAATTCTAAAATCTAGAATAACATGATAGTATGTATCGTCTTTTGTCGAATATCGTGCGTTGTAAGATGGAGGGAAAATTTATTCTAAACCCAAGAATATATAAACTTACATTTATACAAGTTACTCTTGTCCCAATAAGTAAGGCAATCTTTTTTAATTCGATAAAGGAGAATAAGAATTATTGATTTTATTTTGATATTGTCTTATTTTTATACTAAATGAGGTTGTGAGAAATATAAGTGCGTCAAGAATATTTTTTGTCTCAGTAACAGAAGTTCTTTCTGAGGGTGTGCGATGAGAGTCGAGCGGCGGGGGTGTAAAGAGTGAGAACAAGATCGGCCCCATTTTTTTCGCATTCGATTTTGGTCACAAAGTAGGTACCGAACAAAAGGTCTCGTCAAGATGATCGCAGATATATCAGAGTGTACCTATTTAACGTTCCAGAGATATCGGACTCCAAAGGTTCCATTCCATTCCAAACAAATGGTTGGTGTCTGTCCAGACGGCTTGATCGCTTACGTCCAGAGAGTTTTTGTTTGGTACCTACTTTGTGTTCCAAATCGAATGCGAAAAAAATGAGGCCATTTGCCTACGGACACTTGTTCTCGCTCTTTACGAGCGCAGTTAAAACTCCTATGATGCAGTCGCATGATCAAAACAAGACGGTGACTAATGAAGTCCTGTCCGACGATTTGTACTGTTCTACTTGGTGCGCGAGCGTATTAATATTATAATTCCTCTTCGACGCGCGTCGCGACGGAAAGTAAACATCTCTTGTATGTCGGGCTGCGGCGCGCGGATAAATCCCGCGCTAATCCCGCGTTAATGAAAAGGTCGTTATCAAACAAACGAGATGTGGGTCAGACTCCGGCTCCGCGAGGTAAAGTGTTATAGCGTTATCGCGACGCTTATCGAGGACGTCGCGG